TGCGTTTCGGGCGATTCGCATAAACTTGGCAAAAATAATAAGAAAGACAACAGCTGCCGGTGAGCTTTCTCGGATGATCGCGATCATCTCGTCCTCCCCGCTTCCTTTTCATTATGTTTTCCTTTCCTTTTTGGCCAGTTACAATCGCAGACAATTAAGCGGAAATGCGATATGAGAAATGTTGCACTGCACCGGATTTGAATGAGAATGCAATCGGTGGTTCCAGAACGGAGGCATAATTATGCCCACAAAGGCGCAACCAACTGAGGCCTACCCAAATCAAAAACACAACAAGCCACCGAGGAAAAAGGAAAACGAAAAGAAAAAGGACCTGGGATCAGGCGCAAGGACAAGGACAAGGACAAGGGCAAGTCTAAGGGCTGGGCCAAGGACAGAAACTGGGAAAATCCAGCGTGAGAATACCTTAACGACGCAATTGTATCAGGGAGCTGGGACTACGCAACAGATTTTTCTGGTATCCACCAGAAAAGACATCATTTTTTTCACTTAGAAAAACTTTGATTATGTTCTTCCTTTCAATATCCTCATATTTTATATTGCTTTCTTGCTAAAAGAGTATTTTCAACTTAACCAAAAACACAATAAATATTATAAGATCCGGTAATTTAAGTTAAATATGCATATATTAAATAGCTGTAGAATAAGATATATCCTTATTTTCTTTTGTGTATTATCCTGACATCGAACTACCCCATAAATGGAGAGGCTGCATAGGCGCAATAGAGCCACCCCATTTCCGTCCTTTCAATGGCATTGTGCGTTGGGGTTGGGGTTGCATAAATTATACAAAACAAAGCTAGCACATATACTCGCATGTATAATTCAGGCAAGGATCAAATTCGAAATGCGTAGTTCCTTTGATTGCTTTTCAAACTATGTTTTACGCGCTTTTAAGCGATTTTCGGTACAGTTTTTCCAATCTAAGCAGTTGGTGAAGTGCCAAGGTCTTCCAGTTGACGGTGTTTTGATGTTACACTGAAAGAATATCTAACCAGTATAGGCACCACCTGGTTACTTATCACTAGCTTTATACTAAATGTAACTTTATATTCTACAAATATATTTACTTCATATAAATTAAAGATATTTTTTATATTTATGGATATTTTAGAAGATAATACCTTCAAAATCAATATTATTTTAATTTATAGTTAAGAACAAACCTATTTCTTCAGTGTATTACTGTTAATGTTCTAGTTCAAAATCCACCCCAAAGTTTGCTGATCCAAAAGCCATGTTTCGAGATGAGTAAGTCGCAATAAATGTACCGAATTTCAGCTTTGGCTAGACTTTTGGAGGGAGAAAAGTTTGGAATGCGCAATTTATTATTTCCTATCCACAGACAACAGAAGGTCGAACCAAAGGATTATGCGTGGCCCACAGAAGATGATTTCAATCTGTCAAAAGGAGGACGCAATTAAGATACCCTTAGACTAAGTGAGGTATACAGAATCCCCGATCGTGGACTTCCAAAAGATCATAATAACTATGAATGCTTATATATTTACTATACCAAAACTCCTATTATTCCCAACACTTAACTTCCCAGCATGATCTCTTAAAAATCAATAATAATTGGAAATAGGAAACTTTTTGACTTGAGAAATTTCTAAAATTTCTTTCTCATAACAATTTAATTTGATTCGCCTGAATCCGTCGTAAATAAAGGTAGTTATTACAAAGCACTCGTTAGCCAAACACTTTTCACTCCATTGCGAAGGGTATTATATAAGCCTAGGTCTTGGAATCTTTAATATTCGGGTGTATCCTTGTTTGAATTTTTTGGGGTTGGCAAGGCATAATTTCGCATTTCGAGGAACAACAAAGGATACGGATAAGGGATCAGGGATCGTTATGTGCGGCTCAAGGACAACGGGATCGAGTTCCAGTGCATGCCAGGACATGCCAGGGAAAGTAGAGAGGTACACAATGGGCGGCGGAATTATGAAATAATAATCAAGTAGGGCATAATCATAATAACGTAACCTTGATGCAAAGGTAAACAATAATTAAGCTAGACCAAAGGGATCGTCTATATATACAAAAATAAAAAAAATATTATGTTCATCGAGGGCAGTGGATAGGTATCCTGGATGGGATCGCAATCACAATCGCACACGTGTTGCTTCCACCCGAACAGAGCTAATCTGCTGACGCATTCAGGACTCCTCGTTTCGGTTCTGGCTGGGACATTGGAAATTAAGAACTTCTGGCAGCTGCTCCGACTCGATCGTCTTCATCATCATCTTCGTCCTTATTCGATATTCCTGCGACTTGACTTGTGAGAGCAGCTGCAGAAGCGATCGTTAAGCACACGTGCCAAGGTGAGTCAGCAGGAACAGAAGCAGGACCAGGACCAGGTTAGCCAGCAGGATCCGAATTGGATTCGGACCAGAGGGACCCAAAACAGGAGCAGAAAAGCTATTATCCTGCAAGTCATAGCCATTTCTAAAGTTAACCCTTTCAAGGCTTTGGGTTAAAAAGGGTATCTCTTGTCTTATTTTGATAAACATTTTTATTATTTAAAAGATATTTTGCTTGACATCTATCAAGGTGCACTGTTTTTATTAATTACTTAAGGAAAATGCATACGATTAAAAATTAATGTTAAAGATTTGTCAATTTGGATATGCCTTTCGAAATTGCTCTGGGAATAATCATGTCCTCAATGGGTTAATTTGTTGCCGATGAAGGTAGCCGACGATGGTTAATGCCCAGGGAGCAGCTGCTGTTGTTGCTTGAGTCGATCACGACATTTATCTGTTCGGCGGCTGTTTTGTTTTGTTGCCATCTTGCCACATTGCCAGGACAATTGGCAACCAGTTTGCGCCCTAAGCTTACGAGTCCTTTGTCCTTTGTCCTCTCAAGAAAGCAAGAAAGCTGCCAGGCAACCAGATCAGATCCCAACCGAGAAACCCAACAACAGATGTTTTAAACTCGCGTTAAGGAACGTGTTTCCAAACATGATTTATGTCTCAGCCTCTTCGCGTTAGAGAGTGGATTGGAATCCTCCCAAAAAGAAAAACAAAAAAAATAAAAAAACAGAGACAGGGATCTTTGGAGCGAAAGAGAGGACCAGCCACATCATTGTTCCCATTGACCAGCTGCCAGGGCGGCGTCTTGGGCTTCCACAGGGCCTCCGCCTCAAAAGAAATAGCACCAGAACCGGTCCAAGCAGATCCTATCCTATACGAAACGATCCCATCTTTCCAGCTTTGTGTCGTTTTTATGGCGTGTTATGATTTCGTATTACAATTAGCCGACACAAAAGGCACACGGCTGCCTATTTCTGGGTTGTCAATTGTTTGCATTCTATAAAAACGAAGGCCCATAAATTCGCTGCCTATGGCAGCGCATTAAAACTGTCAAAATTGTGCTGTTAAGTTGACATTAGATTGGTTTTTGAGTGCCGAAAGACTGACTGACTACTTCATTAGATGGGCTTCTGATGAGCCACGATGATAATGCAACCATAACTGGCGAAATGATGACCTTTATATCAGAATTTTTTCATAATTAATCTGTGATTAATCAATATGATGCTTAGAGATGCATCAAATTGTTTCGATACATAGAAAAATATTATGTGCTAATTACAGCAGATTCATTACAAGATTCTAATAAATCATAGACAGTACATTTTATGCCTCAAATCAATACTATAAAATCTTATTCAAGCTTGCAAGTTTTTGTATTTGACTTAACTTATTATTTTTATAAAAGTATCTAAGTTTGGCATAGTGTATTTCCTAGTGCATCTTGATCTCGATCAGTCTGGAATGGGACAGCGGCACACACCTCCCGGCAGCACTTAAGACAAATAACTTAAACACCTATCGACAGGACCCGGCAGCAGGCACGTTTGCTTCCGAGCTAGACGCATTTTCAATTAGTTTTAAATCACAACTAATTGAATTCATTTCGGTGCTCGAGATTCCGGATTGCGATCGCCATCTAGGCAATCTTATCTTAACAGTTATGATGTCCGTGTGCCGGCCGCCTGTTTTGGCATTCTTAGCCAAAATTTATTGACAAAATTTGCAACACAGATTGCGGACTCCAGGGCGAAGGTAGACCATAAACCAGGTGAGTTGGAGGAGATGGAAGCTGCATGACCAGTAGCCCAGTAGGCAGAACCAGACGCTGTCTAATGCTGAAAGGCACTCTGCAAAAAAACTTACCAAAAAGTATTTAATTTATACAACTATATTTATTATATTGGTAAACTAAACTTTTATGTAATGAATGCTGTAAGCCAATATAAACTCTATTGTCATTATTACCGAAAGTCATTTGCATGCACAATTTACATAAATTTCTTTCAGTGTTGCAGATGGGTTAAAAGGCCCACCTTCTGCCAGAACTGCTGCCGGCATATGTGAAATCTATGGTCGCGATGCCTGGCTACCAAGTCATAATAAATGGAGCACACTGCACTCCACTCCACGTTGGCGGCGCATGCAAAAAAGAAAGATCGGGCAGATCGAGCGAAAGGCACCGATTGTCCAGAGATTGGTGGGACAAGTGGCGCTGCCTTAAAATCGCAGCAAAGCAACTGCTAAAAATGGGAATCAGGAAGCGAGCATGGACTTTCTTTTTTTTGCTGCTCCCTTTTTTGTTTTTGAAAGTTAAACGGTTGCCGCCTATTGGGCTGACGAAAGGTGGGTGCTCCGACATCAATGATAGATAGCACAATGGGAAATTCTTGATTTCGATAAATGCTTTGGGAAATATTTATAGCAAATACAAAAATTTAAAATTATAGGAAAAAATAATGATGCAAGCTGTAATTCAAAAAAAAAAAATGAAGTTTTATAGTAGATATTATAAACATATTTTTAATCTGAATTTTCAATTATTATTATTACCAATTTCAAATCACAAATTTTTCGCGGTTTGTAAACAGCTGGTATTGAAACTTAGACAAAGAGGTTGGCAGTTTCTCAGACTGCAAGCAGCTGTTTTTGATTACAATATAATCGAGTTGGCAGGTTCTATCGCTCTGCTGGTACGGAGCGTATCAAATTAAAATCAATTAAATCCAATCAAAGCGACCAATAAAGAAGCTCAAAGAATTCTGGACAGCAGAGAATCCTCCCGATACCGTTTCAGATAAGATAAGACCCTCAAACTCCCCCGACAGGTAAAAAAAAGGTGATAAAAGAGTGCGGCTAGCTGCCGGTGTCAATAATCGATTAGTAGCCAATTGCTAATTTTCTCATATAATTTGTTTTTGTTTTTAGCCGGCATTATGTGGCGACATCTTGGCGTTGTCGCACGAACTGGAAGTAACGTAAACTTCTCCAGGATGCGTGGATTTTCGGCTTTGGTTCAAGATAAGGCCTTGGTTGATGGTGCCTGGGTGGATTCAAGCAATTCAAAAGCCACCTTCGAGGTCAGAAATCCTGCTAATGGAGCGGTGATCGGAAAAGTACCCAACATGACGGTAGAGGATGCACAAAAAGCCATAAATGCCGCTAAGCAGGCCTACGAGTCTAAGGAGTGGCGATCTCTAACGGCCAAAGATCGGTCTAACCTGCTCAAGGTGAGTGTCGAGATCATTCCTTATCAGAGCAGCGCAAAAAACAATTAGCAGAACAGATTAGAAGTTGCATTTCATGATATGCATATTAAGAATTGAATATTCAGATCCAGATTCGTGTGATACCCTGGGACCCCAGTTTGTCAACATTTCTCTAATTTGTAGCTAACCCCTGCTAATCTAATCTAATCTCACCTTGCAGAAGTGGCACAAACTGATCGAGGAGCACTCGCAGGAGATAGCCGAGATAATGACCGCTGAGTCGGGAAAGCCGATCAACGAATCTAAGGGGGAGGTGGCCTACGGCAACGCCTTCGTGGAGTGGTTTGCAGAGGAGGCCCGTCGTGTCTACGGCGAGATAGTGCCCAGTGCTCTGCCCAACCGGGAGATTATTGTAATGAAGCAGCCCATCGGAGTGGCTGCTCTGATTACACCCTGGAACTTCCCAATGGCCATGATTACGCGAAAGGCAGGAGCTGCACTAGCAGCGGGATGTACAGTGGTAGTCAAGCCATCCGAGGACACTCCCCTAACAGCTCTTGCTGTGGCCAAATTGGCAGTGGATGCAGGCATTCCAAAGGGTGTCATTAATGTGGTGACAACAAACAAAGCAGCTCCAATCGGCGATCTCTTCTGCAAGAGTCCGGACGTGAGAGGCATATCCTTTACAGGCTCCACAGAAGTGGGAAAACTCCTGTTCCGCAACTCGGCTGATGGCATCAAGAGGATTTGCCTCGAACTCGGCGGTAATGCTCCGTTTATTGTCTTCGATTCGGCCAACATCGAAAAAGCTGTAGATGGTGCCATGGCCTCCAAGTTTAGGAACTGCGGACAAACATGCGTCTCAGCCAACAGATTCTTTGTCCAGGATGGTGTGTACGATAAGTTTGTAGAGCAGCTGAAGAAACGCGTGCAGGCTTTGAAAATTGGCGATGGACAAGGATGTGATGTGCAAATCGGACCCCTGATCAATGAGATGCAGTTCAAGAAAGTCAGTGGTTTTGTTGAGGATGCGAGGTCCAAGAAAGCAAATATTATCTTGGGTGGAAAACCGCTGACTGACCAGGGTGAACTTTTCTATGCACCAACAATAGTCACAGATGTACCGCCATCCGCTCAACTATATTCAGAGGAAGTCTTTGGTCCCGTAGTCTCTATCATCCGTTTCCGGGATGAAGAGGAAGCTGTGAAGAAAGCCAACGATACCAGGAGAGGTCTGGCTGGTTACTTCTACAGTGAGAACCTGCAGCAGGTCTTCCGAGTGGCCAAGCGACTGGAGGTGGGCATGGTTGGAGTGAACGAGGGTATCATTTCTGCTGCTGAGGCGCCATTCGGTGGTGTCAAGGAGTCTGGAGTAGGACGAGAGGGCTCCAAGCACGGCATTGACGACTATGTGGACATCAAGTACATCTGCATGGGCAACCTCAAGTACGACTGAAGTCCAGCGGAGGAGTCACTTCCAATGCTTTCATTTGCTGTCTTCCACTAGAATGCGATTTGTTGATAATTGTTATAGAAAAACACGCCGCTATTTTAATAAATGTGCACAAACTCTACCAGAATTTCGAGATATTACATTTTTGAAAACTTTTAGATAAATTTCCTTTTTTTAAATAGTCCGCTACTTTCATATCGATAAAATGGTGTTTTCAGCCACTGGCATAAATACCCTAAATTCATGTGACCATAAATCTATTATCGTTATCGGTTGTCCGTTTGGTCGAAAAAGTGGAACTATAACCTGGTGACACTGCCCGCAGCTGTGCGAAAGAGACGGAGGTAGACAAAATTACAATGCCAAATGACAAAATTGTAAGTAAATTGTTGATAACAAATTGTATAGTGCTTTTTGAGTACTAACTTTACGAGAGATGTGATTGTGCAGTGATTGTAATGCAAATTGATCAATGTTCGCATATACGAAACGTACAAAAAGCCGGCAAACAAAGTCGGTTATCCAGTTTGATGGCGTTTGTTGTTGTTGCATTATATATGGGAATTATATTTAAAGACTGTTTTAGCCGGTAAAAGTGGAAGTGAAAATACGTGTCACATCGATATGGATGCACTCCGGTTGGTGTAAATCCACCCCAAGTCCTATCATGCGCCTAAAAGTGCAGGCGGTGAAATTAAATGGTACCATGACTTGTAGATTTTCGATTGATAGAGTGCAGTCTAGGCGGAAAAGTGGACTGAGGGGGTATTGGCGGGGTGTTTAAAACTATGACTTGACCTGAAACACAAATAAATTATTAATAATTATTGATAACTGCAAGCGGCATAGGTTATCTTTAACTACTAAACTTAAATAATGCAGAAGTGTCTGACTAAACGAAACATTTTTTCTTGTGGGTGTGCAGCACTGAAAAAAATATTTTACATAATTTTTTGATCATTTTAAAAAGTATGTTTTTATTTTCATTTCTTACTTTTGAAATAAATTTGTAAAATTTAAAAATCTGAAAAATTTTAAGCTTATAAGAATATTTAAAACCCAAAAAATCTAAATATGTACAATTTTCTTTTCGTGCAAATTAATCTCTTTTTAACTATGCACTCATTTTGGCAACGAATTGCATTTGTTTTTATTGCGATGCCAAAAAATGTTCACAGTCAAGTTCGCGCCTTCATGACGTACAGTTCGAAACACTAAGCAAAAGCCTTCCGGGCTTCAGTAGCTCCTAGCTACACCACACTTGACAACCCCCAACCACCCGAACCACCCAGCACCCTCTCAAAAACACCACCCTCTTAACCACCCACCCAGTGACCTGTCCAGAAAGTCCACAAAATGGCCTGTGCACCACTGATGCTCGAGCAATTTATCTACAAGAAGCGCAATTTCGCTTACGCCTTTGTGCGCCATCGTCTGTTTGTGTTATGCAAACAATCGGTTGGACCAGAACTGAAATTATTCACCAGCCGAAATACTAATTAATATATTTTATTTATTATTTAATTTCAGCTAATTCGCGTTCAGTCAGCGGAGGGCATCAAACGCATCGAGATCTCGCCCAAGTCGAACCTGAAGCATCTATATGACAGCGTTCAGAATGCTTTAAAGGTTGATGGTTTTGGGCTCTTCAAGGAGCGTAACTTTCTCACAGAGCTGCAGGCCAGTGGCTCTCAGCTGGTGGGAACTTCCTTGAAGCATGGCGACATGGTCTACTTAAAACAGATGGCTGGCACATCGTCACGCGTAAGTTGATCCCCTAGAGAAGTTCGATTAGGAACTAATTTTGATATTTCTATTGCTTTTTAGCGCACTAGCACCACTGTCTTGGACACACGGACCTTCAAGGCTAGCAGCAACAGCAACCCGAGCAGCGCTCGTCAGTCCATCAACGTGGTCGAAGATGACGTGGACCAAGCTCTGAGCAAGGCGGACGGCACCATCAAGCGCGAACGCGATAGCAAGCTGTAAGATTTCGTTTTTATGTGTTATATCATCAGTGCAGCTTTATAATATTCAAATATTGTACCATTTAACCGATCAACTTATATCCCTTGCAGTTGCCATCACAATGCCAACGGTCGTTGCGTCCACTGCTCCGCCCTGGAGCCGTACGATGAGTCCTACCTGAAGGAGCAAAACATCAAGCACTTGTCCTTCCACTCGTACATACGTAAGCAGACCTCTGGAATGGACCAGGGCAAGTACTTCGTCTTCGACGACATCAATTGCCGCATTAAACCAGGTTGTCGCGAGCATCCACCATGGCCTAAGGGCATCTGCTCCAAGTGTCAGCCGTCAGCCATAACGCTAAACCGTCAGACATATCGCCATGTGGATAACGTTATGTTTGAAAACACCAAAATCGTGGAGCGCTTCCTCAACTATTGGCGTACTACTGGACACCAACGCATGGGATATCTTTACGGAACATACGAGCAGCACACTGATGTCCCGCTAGGAATTAGGGCTAAGGTAGCAGCCATCTATGAGCCACCACAAGAGTCCACTCGGGATTCGATCAACATACAGCCTGATGAGGGAGCAGATGATGTGGATGCGGTGGCCACTGCACTTGGACTGAAGAAGGTGTGCTTTTACTATTATTAGAATCGACTTTATTTTTCTAATGATTTCTGTGCATATTACAGATTGGTTGGATTTTCACTGATCTCATCACGGAAGATGCGAGTGTCGGCACTGTCAAACAGATCCGTGGCATCGAGTCGCACTTTATTACCGCCCAGGAGTGCATCACAGCCGGCGAGTTACAGAACCGACATCCGAATCCATGTAAATATGCCTCCAATGGCGTCTTTGGCTCAAAGTTCGTGACTATTTGTGTGACGGGTAAGATTTTGACCTTTAAATATCATAGTTCATTAATTCAATTTGTTCACATTTTAGGAGATAAAACCAAACAAGTGCATATGGAGGGCTATGCGGTTTCGGCTCAGTGCATGGCTCTGGTGCGTGATAATTGTCTGATACCCACTAAGGATGCGCCTGAGCTGGGCTACGTGCGTGAATCCACGGACAAGCAGTATGTTCCAGATGTCTTCTATAAGGTGAGTGTGGTGGAATCTTCCTCAATTATTTATACAAACTGTTCTTGGGAAATCCGTCGAAGTCCAATGCCTTTCCAACCTATAGTGTTGATAATAATATTCCCCCTTAAAAACAAAATCAGTTTTCGAGCAACCTTTATTGAATTACGTTCACACATTTATACAGACAACTTCCATATTTAGACATCAATTCAAATGGGGTTTATTTTGGTTGGGAACATGCAAACTCTGGGTTTCAATAGCAATGTCAATTCAAAATTGTACATCAAGAGGCTTACATTAGCTTGAATTACATTGATTTAATTATTTCGTAATTTTGGTTTATTTTCCTTTCTTCTCCTTGGTTTGTACTTCTCATCATTGCTCTGGGTCTACCTTCTGAGTTCCATTTCATTTATCGTATACCTAGGGACACTCTTAAACACCGATATTGTTTTTGACTACATAATTGTTAAAGTTATAGCCCTTTGAGCATCTGCCAGCCAATCACAAATTTCAAAATATTTCCTCTTTTTTACTTTTAGTGCTTATTGAAATATTAATTATTTGCCAAACTAGTTTTGTTTTCGTTCTATCTAAATAATTTTTGATTGCGATATTTTTATTTTTCGGATAATATAATTTTCGTTCTTATTTTTCATATTTTCTTATGAAATTAAAAGTTCTTTGATGTTTGAAATTTGAAAACTATTATTCGTTCTTAAATATAATTAAAATAATGGTGGTCATTCCACTAATTTACTTAAACATCGTAAAAAGTAGTTCAATTTTTATATTTTGTCGAGTTAAAAATAAAACTAAAATTTATTTAATGTTCTGCTAGGGTATTACTACGTCGATTTGATTCCCTTAATTTATTTACGGATGGCTATTCTTGGCATTCATTACTTTATCCATCACAAACATATTCTTAGTTACGATCACATAAAATGCATATGTAGACATCGAAAAATCTATACCTTTTATATAATTTTGGATAACAGACATTGGATAAATGAATTGACCACATTATCAGCTTCTTAATCTGCTTTCACCTGTTTCATATTTTGTTTGTTTTTTAAATGTTTAGGTGTTTATTAGGTGTTGTGTTAATTCTATTTTAATTTTATTGTAGCTAATTTGCTGTATTCAGGTAACGTCGTAGCGCTTGAACACAAATTAAGTGTTCTTTTTCTTAAGCTATACTTAATATTTAATAATTATGATAAAGGTTTGTTAGAATTTCCACCTTATCCATGAATTTGAAATTTTAAAGTTTTTTTGATAGTCTTTATTTGTATTTTAAATAGCATCCAAAACGTTTGTTTGACTTGTAAATTGTTTATAAAAATTCTATGCTGTGTTAAAAAAAATTGGCTTCTGTTGGCTGCTTTTTGTCAAAAGAAAATGTTGATCAACTTTTTGACGTTTTACAAATGGGACATTTATTTTCTAGAAAAATTCGTACCAAGATCAGTAATAGATCATACCAAAAATTGTATAGATATCGAGGGGGAGTTGTAAAATTGAAGTGTTTGTGGGGGAGGCTTTGATTACGATTCATTGGATTTTAAAAGAGGACTTGGCTGGTTGGAGGATCTGTCAGTCTGGTTATTGGTTTAAATGGTACTCGCCACAATTCCGAATGATGCATTTGAGCTCCGGGCGTCCCAGAGCATTGCCACTCGACGCTATTCGGTCAACTAAATCAATGCCTTGCACGATGAACCCGAAGATGGCCGTAAAGGAACGCATCTCGTTCAGCACCAATCGGAATTGGCTGCCCACGAAACCACTTTTGTCTTGTCGCCGCTGTCCCCTGCGCATGCCGATCGTTCCTCTATAAGCCGGCCATCCCGTATCATCTGGAAGAAAGTAACGATCCTCGAAGGCGGAGTGCCCTCCGCGTCCGTTTTGCAATTCGAAATCACCGGTGATGATGCTCTCACCTCCCCACGCCTGGAAGACGACACAGCCCCGATATCCATAGCCCCGATCGTGGCGGACAAGTGCCCCGAAGTTGTCCGCCATCTTCGGGGCGGCATCTGATCTCACCTCGATTAGTACCCGTCCGGCCAGTTCGCCTGCTATTTCCATGTCCAGAAAGTAGATGGGGTAACAGTGAATGGACGGCTGCCGCATAATGCTTACCGACGAACTGGAACCCGGATCCTGATAATCCTGATGTTGATGGTTCATGTACTGCTGCTGCTGCTGCTGCTGAGGGTTCTGCATTTGTTCTTCCCAATTGTTGACCCAAGATGATTCTGGTTGGACCGTTGGGTAGCTTGGATGGTGTACCTGCTGCGACATGTGACGCTGCTGCTCCAGGCGCATTTCCCGCTGTTGATCCTGCCACATCAAAAGACGAAATAGCTGTACATTTCTATGAAGTTCCGAGTCTAGAACCCCTGTGTTGTCGCATGACGAAGCCGTGGCATTGTTGATGGACGAGGAAAAGATGCTTTGGTTAGTGCTATTGCTGCTGCTGCTGCTGCTCGGCGAGGATGAGGCGCCAGCTGATCTTTCTCTCATCGGTGGCCGTAATATCTGATTCTGCTCGTGTTCAACCTCTTGGGAGTATTGTTGAATTTCATGCTCCCTAAAACAATGATTGAAGTGTGGTGGTACCACTGCTCGTCGGGGCTGAGGCAGTATATCGGGACTACTTGTCGGAGTCCTAGAGCGCGGTGAAAGCATTCGACGTTGAACCTCACTCCAATAGACGAATACGCAAAAGTTGGTGAGAATAAGTGCCTGCGGTGGTTCTACATTGGCGGGAATTTCACCAGGATATGGATTACTGCGCAGCCTTACAATCCTATCATTTAGATCCTTTGAAATCCAGGATCTGCATGCCGTTCTCCTGGACTGCGGCTCGCATTCGGCATTCGAAGTGCACGTCGGTCAGGAGACCCTCGAACTTTCGTCGCTGTTTAACCAACTGGATGAGCATTTGATGCATGTGGGCTACTGTAAGACTCCCACTAACTCTGCTTAGATCCTGTTTGGCTCGCAGATGCCAACCCATCATGTTAGAAGATATCAGACTGGGATGATGCTCCAAAATAATTCGCTTCACATGCAACTGTACGTTGAAGGAAGTTGCGCACAGCTCGCGTAGTAAATTCATTTCGCGGTTGGCCAATTCACTAGTACGGTTAGCAGTTTGTTTAATCTTTTCCAGCTCTAAGTCGAGCAATTGACGCAGCAGAACGTTGTATTCCAAATTGCGGACGAGGTCATGATCGTGGTGTTGTGGCACATCCGAACAGGCGCGACATAGCAAAAGTTGACAATTGTGACACCACGTGGAGTTCGGCATGGCATGGATGAAACAATGCTCAGCACTGTTGGCTAAAAAGCTATCCATGCAGATGTCTTCTAGCCAGTTTTCTGATGGTGACTTGGGCTCTTCTTTAGAATCTTCAATGATGTGGTTGTTGTTCTTCTCTGAGAAATCCAACATGGCCCTGCCCAAAACCAAAGCTGGCATTTCACGAAGCAGATACATGATGGCCGTCGGTTTGGGAAGAGTTTGGCGAAACAAATGGGTGCGAACTCCGCACAGATTACAAATGCACTCGGATGTTTCGAGGAAAGTGCTCCGGGTCACACACTCATCACAGAAGCTGTGCCGGCAAATCAGCTCCCTGGGTAAAAAGCTGGTGGCCAGATCATATGGACGATGACACAGTCCACAGCTCAGCAGGGATTCTAGTTCCTTTGGGACTTTAATAGACGTCTCCATTTTTTCACAGTACTACAAAATAGAAAATTCGTTCGAAATTATTGAGTATTTTTGTTTAACTGTTGCCTGGTGTGCTTTACTACTACGAGTGAATGTTTCTGAATGTGATAAAGCTGATATTTAAGAAACTGCTTTTCCTGGCTTACTTGGATGACATTCTGGTCTAGCAATATTTATTTCAAGCTATTTTGAATATTATGGATAGAATTTGACAGAGATTTTCCGGTTTTGCCAACGCAAAACAAAAATAGTCCACCGCAAACTATTTCAGTTTAATTTGCGGTCTCGCACAAATCATCAACAGATGTCTTCGACTTTGTTTGCTCTTAGCTTGAGTGGCTTATGCACAATAAATAAATAAGCAAACCAAACAAAATTGAAAAGTTTTGGCCAAATTCAATCTTAAAACAAATAAGTAAAACCTCAGATGAGGCCTTTGAATTATTTGATTGAGATCTCTCATTATTAAGTCATTTCCTTGAATTCCTTTCCCTGATTCGTGAGTTTTAATCTATAAAAACTTTGTAAATTTTCAAATTGTTTATACTTCTTGCTGATTGTGATTAACCTTCTACTCACACCTTCAAAAGAAAAGTCTAAGACCGCTAGCCCATGGCTTGTTAGTTGACCATAAGACTCCGGACCTAATTCTTTGGGCGACCCCTTGAGAAAGTTTTCGCCGTGTGGCAGTTATTGGGACTTTGTTCTAAGCTGTGTAATCAAACTTTGTTTTGGCGTGGGACACCCGGCCTCAACTTAATGTATAACCAGCGGTTTGAGGAGTCAAGTAAGGCCGGCCATGGCAACGCACAAGAGTCTGACCAAAAGGAAATGGCATTCACATTCGTGGAAAATGTGGACCAAAAGCCAAAACTTTGTGGATAAGCAACATGCGTGTTCTATTTTGGCTTATGTTTCACTACCTAACTAGCTCTGAACTAGGTTAAACATGTGAATTAATATTCAATCGATGTAATGGCGACGGCTGTTTAATGTTTGGAAACTTAACTTCATTATATTTCTTAACTTCATCCTATTCCGATCTAGAAGTTTCTTTAAGATTTTAGTACATTTAATAATGTACTTGGTATTTGGAAATGTCATAGCTGGTGACTATACATTTCTTCAATTTCATGTCATAAAATCATGCCTACATATGATATGTATATCAATTTAGAGACAGCACAAAATCCCATGTCACATTTTGAATTAAACCCTTTTTTCCTGAGCAATTTGTTTGGCATGAAAAACAAACAAGAACCAGCTAGCAAACATTGTTGAAAAATGAGCTCTGAAATGACCTCCTGTATGTATTTTTTGTTTCTTATGGTGTTATAGTACACCTGAAGTCTTCAAACGTTCCCGTATTTTTCCCCGTCTCGGATTCTATTTTCTTCCATGGCATTGGACAGTGAGAAACACGTTTGAGACATTCCTTACGCTTATTCTGTTTTCTGTTTATTATTCACTTTTGGTTGTATGTTTGCCATTTACTTTCCTTTACATTTCCTTCCCCCTTTTACTCGGCAATTATGCAAATGCTTTAAGCTGTCTGCAAATTCAGCTGGCTCCGACAATTACAGAAGGAAGTTGCCTTTGCATATGGCATATAAAAAACATTGCCTACTTTTTAGGGTGCTGTCATTTTTTCGCACTTTTTGCCATCGAAGCGTAAAAACAAAATGAATTCCTTGTCGCCTTGCCATAAATTCTTATTTATGACAATTTTTTTTTGTTTCTTTGCCAAATTGTGTTTAGAATACAAACTGTTCGCGAATTCGTTTCGGTAATTGTTTACACGCTTGGAAATTAAGTTGACAATGAACCACACTGTATTCATGACAATTGTTGATGACACACAGTTGTGTGTATATGTCCTTTTTGGTTTAAATAGCAAGGGGAAAAAGAAAAGCCAGTACAAGACAATGACAGATTTCTGTCGGTTGGTTTATTTGCAGCAAGTCTACAATAAATTAACCGCCCCGACGTCTGTCAGTATTATTCAGGCTTAACTCTCATTTAGCCACATTTACACCCATCACACCCGCAGTCGACACCTTGAATGCCCTAATTAGTGAAACTGTGTGCGGCTGACAAATGTTATTGCTAAATTCTATTTGTTTTTGAGGTGAATTCAGCAACCGCAGTTTCTGTCCCTTTGTTATTTTTCCTCTCTCTCGGCTTGTAAGCCTGCGTAATTGGATAACTTTTTCATGAAACTTTGCTGTTATCAAGTGTCAATTGTTGGAAATGAAAGTAAAGTAGTAATTAAGTGGAATTATAATGGGGATAAAGAGTGCAAATTGCTAGTTGGCGGTTTAAAGGACTATTTATATAATTCACGTGGGCTGATAATCACATTGTAAGTACTTTGGCGGAATAAAAATAATGGGTATTTATGGAGCAGAGCTTGTTGACTAGAATTAAGTTACTATATTACATTCTTTAGTCATTAACTTGTATATATAATATATAGGAATTATTTACCCTATCCCATGGATTTCTCTAACCAAATTGTCTTTCCTATACATTTTTAACAGGCCTGTTGCACGTTTCGATGTTTTTTTTAGGGTTATTCCTTGGGGATCTTCCTTAAATCGCCTTTTTGTCTGAATTAAGTTATGCGTTTGAGGGTTTCTCTTTATTTATTACACACATGTCGAAGCCTTTCGCTTAACACATGCAATTCCCAAATGAAATTAAAAGTTTGCCACGCTAAAAAAAGCTCCTGGCTTATGTTTTATGCAAGGAAAACGTGAGCGTCTGAATTTTCAGTACATTTTGAATGCTAATTAAAATGAAAGCCAAATTTCATCGGAAAACCCCTTTTTAGTTGAGAATTTTTCTTTGGAAATCATTCTAGGGAAGATGTACAAAATCATATGAATATTCCGCACGTCAACATACTTGGCCTACTGAATTATTCAGAAATTTCAATGCTTGACTAGGAACGTGTGTGCATTCCGCCGACATTGTCTGCTCAATCAATTTCCACAACTGCGTCAGCGAATTCAGGCCAAGCAAGCATTTGGCTTAAAATCATAAAGAAAAAAGTGGCGAAGGCAAATCTGCAAATCGATAAGCAATTTGTGGCCTGGTTCGCTTCAGTTTGGCCCACTTCCTTTTCCTTGGGCTCATTGTCAGTGCCATTGGACATTGGCCTGGCTTTCCGTTTTTATGCCGGGCAATAAAAATTTATTGCGTGCTTGTGTGTCACCTTCGTCCGATGGTCAGGATGGATGGCTGGAGGTCTCTATTCCTTGCCGGACTATACAGCAAAATCTGTCCCCCCTCTTTTTGCTAATTGCCATAAGCGGACTACGGCCCAGGACAATAATTGGTTTCCCTTATTTTAATGGCAGTGCAAACGTGCTGAGAATTTCCCAGCCATATGGTCAAGTGTGCAATTCATATTTGCAAGCAAGTGGTAAGGGAGCTCGGCGTTTGATGGACTCTATTTGAATAACAAGCAAGCCAAGGAAAAAGTTTCCTTTGGATTAATATCAAGCTTGAACTTCCTCGACCTAACGTTACTCGGGTCTATATAATTATTTTTGTAAGGTTATAAAGCTAAGTATGGGAAATTATCTTAAATAACTGAACAGTTAGGAAATTACTATTAAATTGCATTTCAATAATTCAAACTTTTAAAGCCTATTGCAAGGTTAAAATGATTTCTCTTTCTTAAGGGATTTTGTAATTTTGCACCTTAATAATGCACTGTATTAACTTCCATGATTGGCATTGGCCATAGGCATATTCTAAAGAATCGTTCATAAATCTGTGAGCAGAAATATTGTGTAAAAAGTGAATATAATAAGAATCTCAACAGCAAGCAAATTGTTTTCCTGGAAGCCGTTTACGGAAACTATGAACTATGCCATTATCTTCGTAGGAAATCATAAACTACCTACAGAAAATGTGATAACAAGTTTTCCCAGAAAAGAAATCATTTTAAACATGTAACAAACGTGTTACTAATTTCATACAAATGTTGCATATGAGGGTTAAGGGTGGAGTTGAAAAATAATTAGCATACTTTTGCGGGAAATCGACCTTTTTTGATTGATGGCCCTTGGCCCCGCCGGGCAAAAGAGCTTTCCTACCAGACTTCAATCATGCAAATTAACCTTCAGCATGTCAAATCATGTGCTAATCAAAGCAAAACTTTGATGGATGCGAAATGAAATGTGACGAATCTCGTATAAGTGTGGCTGAAGGTCTGCATCCGTTAAGATATGATAATGAATCTACTGATTAAGCATTTCTCAAGATATCAAACAGAAATCTGTGATTGTGGAAGAGAATAATCTAAAGAAACTTTCAAATCATCATATTTTATTTTGCTATAGAATATAAGCGGGGAAAGGTAACACAATATAAGGAAAACTAAATGTAAATTTTAAAGTTAGAATTTAGTAACTAGTTCTAGGTTTTTTAATTTTACTAAATCACTTTTTGCACTTTTGTTAAAACGAATGCTGTAAATCATTTAAATCTTACCGTAAGACAAAAGTTTTAATCCTCAAATTTAGCTGTCTTTAAAAATATTTAATATTATTTGTTTCACTTTAAAATCCACAGGAACTTGATTGTTTTTTAATTGTTATTGTTGTACCTTTAGTTTGTGTTCGTTTCATAATTTCTAACTTGAAAATGCATCAAAAAATATTCTCACTTCGGTTGTTATTGTTTCGTCATTTGTACACTTTTTCTACTTCTGAGTGCACTTGCAGGAGGTGAAAGCTTTGAAGATTTTACTTTCACTCCTTGGACTGATTTTCTTTTTGATATTCGCTGTCTGAGGTTTAGTCTTTTGCCCCACTGTTGGCTTTTCCTCCTTATTTGGTTGCACTTCCTGCTGGGCAAAGTCCTCGGACTGTTGTTGCTGTTGCTCGTCTTGCTGCTGTATCTGTTGCTGGTGTTGCTGCAATAGCTGTTGCTGTTGCAGTCGCGATTTGAATGCTGCATTACTAAGCTGCCAGCTGCTGGATGAGGCTCTCAGCGGTGATGGCTTCGTGTGCTGCTGCTGATAACTTGGGGCCGCACTGGCCAATCCCGCTGAGCTCTCAGCGCTGTTGGATGAGAGCGTGGAGGAGGCTACCGCCGTCCAGAACATGGTGAAATAACGATCTAATGACTCTACGCATTTGATGAGATTTCTCCTTTGGGCCAGGCATGTTAGCCAAAAAAAAGTGTAGATATATACTTTATATATAGAGATGGGTATTTTTTGGAACACAAAAAAACCGAGTATAACGCGTGCCGTTTAACTTTCAGCGCGACTCGAAGCTGGGCTCGTCCTGCCCGTTAAGCGATTTGTTGGCAAATGCAGCCTCGGCTCGTCAGGATGTGGCTTTTATACTGCTGGGAGAGAGCTTGCAAAGCTTTGTATGTCCTGGCTCCTGGCGCTCTCTCTCTCTCTCTTTTTAAGTGTCTTCCAATGTCAATGTCAAGCTGTTTTTCCTCTCGTTTAACTGTCTTCTTCTGCTCCGCAGAACATGCAAATAGTTTTGCATACAACTTTGCAATTCACGTTAGCATTTTCATTTTGGCTTTTTACAGGTCTGAAATTGGTCTTTAAAATTGCTTCCAAAAAGCAGTGCCATTATTTTTTTATGTTAATTGAAATATTATTTATTTTTACGTTTAATGAACACTTAACTCTAGTTTAGAATATAAAAAGTCACATGCAACTCAAAATAACAGGTCATAATGAAGTTTTAATTAGTTCTTTTTAACCTTGCAGCTAACTAATTACCTTGATTTTATTTAGTTTTTATTTATTTTTTCATCCCTCTTTACGTTTGTATTTGTTTTGCGGACCAAACTTCGTTTGCAGTTTGATAAAAGTTTGCCTTGCTTTTCATGTATAGGTAAATATTGAGGACACCTCAAAGGTCTCTCTCGAAATCAAAAGTGTTTTTATGTTTTTAGAGTAATTTTTTTCTACACAAACTCTAAATTAAATTTTATTCATTATTTCATAATTGCTTAAAAGCCAAATCAAGAGATTTAGCCCTGCTACTGTGCACAAAAGGCTTTTCTACACCAGATGGAAATTCAATTATCAACTCTTCGGGTCAAACTGCAAACACAATGGCATTAATTTGCAGGTCCAGTAAATTTGCATTGTCTCGAAAATCCCTTGCCACTTTCATAGCAATATCATTTCTCCTGCAACCAGGTTGTTAATAGACAAAAGATTGACAAACATTCTATAGCATTTTGAGGATATACAGGCACTTTGCATTAACTTCATTTAAGCTGCAAACTGAATTTTCTACCGCTGACGTAAACGGAAGCGGAAATTTGTAACGCATTTTGATGAGTGGCTGTGGAAGTTAAATAAGGTTGAAGAAGCCGAAGGTGGAGTCCTCAAACCAACATCCTGCTCAACCTCTATTATGTACGTTTATTGATTTTGTTTGACCAGTTTCTGCTCCATCAGATATTCCGCCACCTGCCGCCTGCCGTTGATATGTGTCCAATTTCTGGGCTCCGAAGCTAATTAACTTATGCATGTTCTGGTGATGCGTGCTATTTCATTCCAATCGGATGCACTGGTAGCGTGTGGGAATTGTTGCCATGCTGACGCCTCCGCGACTGACACGCCCCCATTTGGCGGGCCGCCCACTAACAACTAGCACCAACTTAATTGCGTTTGTCGTGACACTGAAATCATAAAGCCTGGGGCCGTGGACTTCGTCCTGTAACAAAACCTGTATTTTTTCACCATTTTATTAACGAGATTGCAACATAGTGATGCAATTATTTTTAGCTTCTCTGGAACTTGTATGGGCGTCAAAACAGATGCAAACTCAGTTTGACATTCGCTCAGGCAGTTTGTTGAGTATTTTGATTAATCGTGAAAACTTTCATTTCGATTTTCCATAAAAAAAAGGATAAGAAAATTTACAGCCAACTGTCATCAACAGTTAGCTGGAATCTTCAATTAACTGAAATTTAAATTGCATTTACTGTTTTATTCTGATTGAAGCAAAAACCTTTGAGCTTTTTTTATACTGGCAGTCCCCTGAGCACGGTTGGATTTTAATAGCATAACTTCAGGGATGCTCGGATTCGTTATGGCTTTTCTGGCTTTTAACTAAGAACTAGACTTCTGGCTTGGCCGTCTATCTTGAGCAGTGGATCAAGGGTCCCTGAGCGTCCAAGACCAGAGACGATTGCCGCCAGCCTTGATAGATGTAGGCAAGGTCATTACCGAGCTAACAGGTTGTCCGTCAAAGAGCTTTTCAAGAGAGGGAGAGAGTGAGAGCCAAATGGGTGAAAAAAGAGAGCAAATCAGACGTCAGCAAATGTTTTTCCCCGTTGCTTTCTGGCCCAAATCTTATGTAGGTCACTGGGCCAAGTCTTTGCTGGGCTAATCTTGTTAAAACCTCATAATAACTTGTTAAATATCTTCTGTCCCCACTAGGAAAAGGATCAGTATGGCAATGAGGTGCAGCGGCTGGCTCGCCCTCTGCCCGTGGAGTATCTTCTGGTGGATGTGCCCGCCTCGACTCCCCTGCAACCCATTTACACCTTCACCGAGTACGACAAGCGCCAGCCATTCCCCATCGAGAACCGTTACATCGACGGTCACCTGCAGGACTTCAATGCTCTCAGCTGTTATCTGTCCGCCTGGGGTGAGGAGGAATTCCTCGAGGCCGTCTCCGACTTCCACCTGCTGGTCTATCTGTACAAGATGGATATGCTACCGTTGCGGCAACACATGGGACCGCTGCTGGAGGCGGTGCGCACCAAGAATCCCAACCAGGCCGCCCAGTTCAAGAGCGAGGATGTGTGGAAGCTGATCGAGTCTATTATCCAGGCCAGTTCCAGCGGCAGTGGGTAAGTTTTCGAAATGACTGAGAACCTTTTCCCTATTTAATTTGTTTTTTTCCCATTTCAGAGGAACAACTAGCTATCCCAGTGGTGGTGCTTCGTCCAGCGCTGGAGCTGCTGGCGCGGAGGCAATGGACTTGGATGCCAACACCTGGACGTGCAACCATTGCACCTTCATCAACCGCGGCGAGCTCACATCCTGCGAGATCTGCTCGTTACCCAGATAAGAATCCCCGCAGACACGAAAATTCCACGATTTGCAGCCTAGATGAACCATTCGAAATTCCGGTGTAAAACAAACTAAAGATTCAATCATACTTACTTATAGCAGCGACTGGAAGACAAGGGTGTCCCTCGAAACACACGTACACATGTACACTTAGAGGTGCACGGACATACACATAGACACGCAGCGGTTCGTGCGAATGTCGCGCATTCTCTATATGTAATCCTTGTGTAAGAATTTTATAAAATAAAACAAAAAAAATGAAAGGAAAATTTAATTTATTTTTAAATAAATTTCAATTGTTGTGCAATTTGTGTTTTGTGATTTTTATTGTGAATTATTTGTAAAAAACTGCAGCTATGAAGAGAAAGTAACATCGATTTCATATTTTAGTTAGCTTAAAAAACAATGCTTTTGCCGAAAATAAAATCTTTTCACAATGCAGGTCAACCTATATAATGCCTATTTTTAGATGCTTTTGTGGCTAACGATCCTTATTTCCTTGCGGCTGTATCTAAAAAACACCATACATCTAAAAGAACATTTTTTTGTGCAGCCAAATGCCAAGACTATTAATCCCTATCATTCGTTGGCGAAATTTGAAAAAATTTATTTTCTAACCAAATTTTTTCCTATTTGATAAGGGGTTACATCACGTTTTTTTGCCAAAATGGGACAAAAATAAAAATTTCTAGCCCGAATCCAGTTTTAAAGAGAATGTTAATACGATTTCATCGATGTATGACATTCTATATTTGGAAACCTATTTATTGTGCTATTTTAAAAAAATATCTGTTTTTAGGCCAATTTTGGTATTTTACATAAGGGGTAACATCGTCAAAATTTGCAAAAAATGGTCAAAATTTCACATTTTAAACTATGAATACAGTTCCATTAGGTATAAGAAAACAAGCTCAACGAGATACAACATACCATATTTGGACCACTATTGGCTTATTTATGGGAACCATACTGTCATTTTGGGGGCAAAAAAGGGTAACCCAATTTCACCTTTTTGATCATTGAAAAGAATTCAAAGATTAAATAAAAAATTTAATAACTCCCATAAGCATTGAAAAACGTTGTTGTTAAGTAGATAAGTTTTTTTTTTATTTTGTAAATTTTTATTAAAAGTTTAAATTACGAAGTTTAGGGTTGAATGTGGCTAAAATGGTGCATTTTTCAAGGTTAAGACGACCTTTGTCGCTCGTCACCTGAGGAAAGAAAAAATGAAAATATTAGTTTACTTTCATCAATATCTTATTTTGGAAAATTGATAAAAAAAACTTAAATTATAAAAATATTACAGTTTTTCATAAAAGTTTAACCCTAAGGTTGAAAAACATAAAAATAGTAACCTTGAATCTTAACATATGAAAACGTTGTCAAAAGGATTTCAGTCTTTATCAAAATTTCATATGTTTAAGAACAAAAATTTTTGGTTTGGCAAATTTATACAAATTTAAAGTCAAAATTAGAAAAGAGGTTAACATTTTGAACTGTAACTGATTTTATAACAAATGGCCCTTCGTCTTGTGACTGCTCTCCGGACCCGTGCTTCTTTATTACATGTGCGAAAGGTAATCCATCAATAGAAGAGGTGTTACAATAAAATAACTTCTTCCGATCTGATCTTCAGATACAGACAGCACCGTTGAAGCGTACTTTATTGATGAGAAGTAAGTAAAGGATTTACGATTCCAATTTAGGCCTCTTCATCTCAATGCCCGCTTTTCCTGCAGAGAATCTGGTTCCTTTTCTTGATGATGACCCATGTGTATTCTCGGCGAAAGCTCTTAGGCATCATTGGGGGGTAAGTGTAGTATTACTTAGTAACCCTAACTCAAAACTTACCATATTATTTGTTTTCTCTATAATCGGAATTTAAAAAGAGGTGTATACATACTTTTCTATGCCTTTATAAGACTTTTTTGAGCAGTTCTAAATAGGTTTATGTATAGGTCTAAAGAAGATTCCAGTAGTGCCAAATGTTAAAAAGAAAATCAAATTACAAAATTTGTGTATTTGTTTAAAAAGTCGAACAAAAGTCCAATTTTACCAGACTAACTACGCGTAAGATTCATAAATACAAAATTAAAATGTATGTGTGGGGTGTGGAAAATGCACGGAAATAAGGTTGGTTAAAACTACAGAGCAAATTATTTTATGTGAAACATTTATTGTGGTATATATGTATATATATATATATATATATATATATATGTATATATATATATAATTAATTATATTAATACGCTGCAACATTTAAGATGAGTTTGGTTTGAGTTTCGTGTGGGTCAAACAGCAAATTTTTACGCAAATTCAAGTTTACACAATACCAACTGATGTCTGTCTTTTTGTGTGTGAATGAGTGTGTGCATGTATGTACTACGATCTAATCAAATCTATATGTTATCTATGAATACTTTTATATAATTATTAAGTTTCAATAATATATTATATATACTGCATAAGAAGCTAAGGGCAACCAACTTTGGAATTAGCATTTCGAAAACTTCTCGAAATCCGAAACATATTTCGATGGTTTTTCTTTTTATGTATATAATTTTGTATTGCACAAACACTTGCAACGTAAAACATTGAAATTTTTTGAGATTTGAATACTCTCTATATATGCTAAGGTTTGGTTTTTTTTCTTAAGTCGGCCAACACAACAACACAGTGTGCATCGGTGTATTATTAAATTGGTTCATCTTTCAACTCAGCGCTTAGGGTTCTAGTGTTAGCTTTTTGTGGATCATCATTTTATTAATATTTAAGATTTCGCTTTTACGTTACGCACATCTTTAAAATACAAATATATAATATATATATATGTATCTATTACTTGAGTTTGCCTCAACATTAACACATCGGTATCAAAGTTATATATGTATGTATATATATATATATATATTGCTTATACGTTGTCCTCGCTCTGACTAACTACCTATATAATGTCTTGACTGTTAATTGCTGAATCATATGATTTACCTTTCGCTTAGAGGATACACTCTCTAACAAACTTTGAGTTCACACAAAAAGGGTATTGTCGCATATGTATTTTCTTAAAAAGAGTTCTCTTAGGTTTTTGCTTGCCGACTTCATTGATTTCAGTTAAGATATCTTCATTTATCAAAGACCATGCATTGCCTTCTGTGTGTCTAAGTCTAAGATAAAGCAATATAATAATATTGATAGAAAACAAGAAGAATTGGATACCCCTTTTTATTTATATACAAATTACAATGATACAAATTAGAAATAAAAATGCTGAAATTACTGCACTAAAAGCGTTAATATCATACACTAGAAATAAAACAAAGAACAAAAGAAAAGTGGATATCCTTTTATAGAAGAATCATTACTATAATAGAAAATGCCGTCGGCTGTTAAATCAAAAAATAATAAACTATACTTCAGAATCTACTGATAATAAAGTGAATTTTTGTATAATCAATATCGATATTACTAGATTTCAATCATTTACCATTACTTTTACTATTACGTGGTACCAAGTTTGAAACGGAGAGTACGTTATACGAGTTCGAGTACATTTTACAAAGTCTAATATGACGGTGGTTTCTAATTCAACTATCAACTAATTAGTACCATACGAATGTACGAGTATATATATATTTATATATTAAATTACAGCTAATCTTAAGCTAAACATTAACAATACAATATGTTATACAGAAACTTTTCAGTTTTTCTTTTTTTTTTTTTGGTTTTTGGTTTGTGCATTATACAGGAAAAAATGATTTCGTGCAAACTACTTTCAAATTACAAATATACTTTTCCAGATGTTAGTTTTTACTCGTTTTCCATTTAATGCAAATCAAATACAAAGGTTCTATTTGTAAAATTTTCTTTCACATTTTCATTTATTCATTTCAATTCAAAAAGGGTTTTATGCCAAGAAATTTTTCAATAGGAAAATTACACAAAGGGTTCACAATATACTTTTTTTTTGTCAGCAATTTGTTTGATTTTTCTCGGTTTTGGATTCTTAGGGGTTTTTAGGCTAAAAGAGTAAATACCGTTTACATGTCCTTTGTATATATCGAAAGAATTTTATATTGTGTTTCAGTATATATATATATATATATATTAGTGTCTAAACATCGCTACAAGTATAGAGCGAGAAATAGAGCGACAGCAGTTACATGTTTACAGTTACAAGATACAGGGTGTTGTATATAATATATATATCCGTTTCTCGTTACAGGCTAATCAAATAATAACCATTTAAACAAATGTATATAAGGTTGGCTGTTACATAAGAACTGCATACTTTCTGATCTATATACGGATACGTTCCTCAGGCCAAGCCAAACTCAATTCAAAGGGTGTTTCATACTGGTTTTTGCTTATGGCCTAAAAGTTATATCGTTTATATATATATATTTTATATATGAAAACTTATGGCTAGCCTTCATATTGTTTACCAAATCGTTCAATATAATGCACTTGCTTATCGTTTATATAGTTTGTTTTTTATATCTTTGCTTGACCTTCAATCCATCTTTTGAAGAGAAACAAATTTACAACAGTTAGTGAGAAGAATTTTTGTTTAGTTAAGAGGTCGAAAAGATCTTTAGGTTTGGGATCTTAATAAGCGACAGAACCTGAAATCAAAGTTCAAAACAAGGTTCTATATAGCATTTCCTCTTCCTCAAAATGTTTTCATCTTCGTTTAAAATTCCTCGTTGCAAAAATTGTACTGATTGATTACGTGTAAAAAGTATATTAGCCAAAAGCTGAGCTCGTTCTGCCCCTTGAAACTGTTTGTTTGGAATTAATCAGGGGGTAGGAGGAGGAGGGGGTTCTAGACAAAACATAACTGAATTTGATTATCCCTAAAATTTTCATTCTCCCGTTGTCACTATTTGGTGTAAGAACTTTTTCATGTCAATTAGTTGCTGGAAGACGAGTCTAAGTTATGTTTCTTTTTCGTTTAGGAAAGTCTTAGCAAGGCTTTCTGCTAAAATTTCGTTAGCAATATTTTTTACTCACCTCAGATTTTGAGTTTGTTTTCTGTATTTTTTATTAGCCTTAATTTAAAAAAAAACCACGTTTGTATCAATTGAACTTGGTGTTGAATTCGTTCGTTTCAATAGCTTTCCATTTCAAAATACAGCTCAGTAGAATTGATATGTTACGAGCCAGTGAAAGTAATCATCCTTCCTTGCTATATAAGAAAACATGTTCCTCTTTTTAAATATATATTATTATATATGTATATATTTTTGATGCATTTTTTTTTGTAGTATATTTGAGTTTTTTCCTGCTTAACACTTAAATTAGGTTTGAATACGACTTGTCCTGTCTTTGATTTTAGCATTTTTTTGTTAAGCATTTTGAAATGAGCAAAAGTAGCCATTTACTGTTATTCTTAATCATATGTTATATGCATTTAAATATAATTTTAGCAATTGATAAATATATATATATAATAGCTTGCCCGTCAAAGTATCTCTTGGATACTCTAAACGCATTGCTTCGAAATTATTTAACACTTGGACTTAAGTTTAAGCTTACCAACTAATTCTCAATACTATAAATTAAAGGTTTCCTTAGAGCATTTCAAATGTGTTTTATATGTTTTTGTTGTTGTTTTTATATTTCCCCGATGTTTAGTCAAGGGAAATAATTGCTTTTAGATTTTATTGTGTACGTTCGATTTTTTGTTTTGAATTTTTCACTTAAACATTTATTGTTGGTTTTTCGTTTTGTTTTTCACTTTTCTTACTTACCACGCATTTTCCATTTTTGTTTTTAAAGAATTAGTTTGTGCCTTTGCACATCAATTGACTAGCTTGTGTTTGAGAGTGTGTTGGTGTCTGTGTGTTTGGTAGTGTTAGTGTCATTGTTTTTTCATAGCGCTTGATTGATAAAGAGAATATAACAACGCCAAACAATAAGCAAGAAGCCAAAAAATGCCAGGTCATGAAATAAAAATATTCTAATTAAACTATTTTTAATTTGGGTTTTAACTTTTATCTTTTTTAAGTTTAGGATCTAAACCTGATTTCTGAATTTTGCTATAAATTTGGTCCTCATTAGTCACTCAAATCAACAAAAATCATTCTCATAATGAAAACGTGTAGCTTGCGCTGATGTTTTCACATTATTTGTTGATCGGTTTAAAGAAGATTCTCTAGAGAATTCTCTTCAGCAAACCTCTTTTTACACAAATTCAGTTTTTCTTAATTGGGTAAAAGTCGAAAACTTTTGGTTTTTGACACCATCAAAGTGATATGCGTTGTTTTGTAGCCTTCACAACAACAGTTGATGAAATGTTTACTTGCTTTTCTGTTTCTCCTGGGTATACCAAAAACTCTACTCTTAGTATGCAATTTGACACATTTTGAGAGACGCCTCAATATATAATTGATATATACATATAATATATAATTTTTTGGATTTTTGTTTTGGTTTTACTAATTGAATATATCACGGTCTTGCTAAATATCATCGTATGTATATATATGTATCTGTATCTATCTGTATATCTGCATGTAAATATCTATAAAGTTTTCGCCACTCGAAAGAACATGTTTCAGAGGCTATATTCCTATAACCCAACCAAATATTCCAATTTCTAGAACTTGTCGTTTGAATACGAATTCGATTTCCGATCCAAATCCAAATCTAAAAGGTTCCCTAGGTTTGGTTTCCTTGACGACATTACATAGTATAAGTTTTTGTTTGTTTTTTTTAAGTACTTTGCTCAGTTTGTTAGGTAATTTGGTTTACGAATACTGACACTTGAATGTTGAAACACAGTTGATCTTATTGTCATATGATGTATGTGTGTATGATGTAGGTATATGTATATATGTATTTAGTTAATGCTAATATGTCTTGCTAATGGGGGGTTAACTTCAGGAGATCTCTCGGCGTCAAGGGGTTACAACTGTGACAGATGATATGAGGTTGTCTCTGCATTATCTTGGAGATTGCCGTTGTATATAATATAAAGGATGTTACTCAATTGACTACTGTACATGTTTCATCATGCGTTTTTGTTCCATAAATGTGTGTGTGTGTATATCTATTTATATAGGAATAAATAACTATGTTTATCTAAATATGTTGTATGTTGGTTGTTAACCTACAAGTAAAACGAAATGATAAACTCCAATTCGCAGTGTATAATGTTGGTAATATATATTACAGCAAGTTCTTTATGTATTTTTTTTTGGCCCAACTAAAATCATGATTCAAAATCCACCATGTAATTTTGTAGAGAATATAAAAAAAAAACTCTTGATGACTCTAAACCACACGAAAACAAGTCAAAAATACAGATTCTATTTGTTAATTGATTGGGGGCTGACTGATAGGTAGTGCAATTTTCCGATCATTTGATTTCCTTTCGTATCTTTAGAAGCCTCCCCAATTCCAAACCCATCAATCAGCCCTAGCATTTTGAGCAATTCTATTAATATCAGTAATCAAAAAATAGATATATGTATATGTATATATTTATAGAGAGAGCGCTATATAAGTATGTTCGATCCGGTTACTATATATCAAAATTAGCAAGCTACTACTTTTGGGTACATATCTTTGGTACGAGTATGAAGAACAAAACATTTCATTGGATATTGTTTGTTATATCGAATTCAGACTGTTGCAACTGTTACAAGTACAAATAACTAAGTACTTTTTTTTTGATTAATCGTTCTGAATAAATGTTTAAGCATACGGATAAATAACCAACAAATTATAAACTATTTCTCGAAGTATTAAAATAAACATAGGCAACTATGAGAGCTTTTTTTGACTTCTTGCTTTTAAGGCTTAGTATAAATAAAATGTAAAATGCATTAAGTAAATATAAATATTTTTATTTGGTTTTGTTTTTGTTTTATAAAATATATACGTATGTCAATAGAACAAAGTGGGTGTGTTGGTGTAATAAAAAGGAATTTGTTGTATTAATCTTCATGGATTAGTGGCAGGGTAAAATCAATCTTATGCTAAAAGCAATTGTTCTGAGATCGAGATCTGACAGAGGAGTTTGGAAAAAAAATTATAAATATTAATATTCATAAGTAAATGGCACCATAATAGCATGTGGAATGTGTGTGTGTTAAGAGTCTTAAGCGTAAACAATAAATAAATAATTGTAAATAAATTAGTTTCAGCATAATGCGGAGATGGTGTGGGAATCGAAAGCCTCGAACTTAGCCCAGCAAAATGTAAAATGATTTTCGGTTAATATGCAAAATCTTTGGTATACGAAAACAATATTATATCATACTCACCCCTCGAGGCGAAAGTCTACAGGAATTAAAAACAATTATCCACTTTTTATTTTTGGTTTACTGGCAAATGCATCGAAATGTAATAAGTTTTACACATGGGTGAGGATCAGAAATATATATATATGAATATATATATGGAAAAGAGAGACAGAGAGAGAGAGAGAGACAGCACAGCACAACAACAGATACAAGAGTGTATAGTTTATACGTAGGTAAATCAAATCAAATCAAATAATACAAATATTTACAATCAAATATTAATCAAATCAAATCATAAGAAAACACAAATGTTTGCTCAACTCGTGGCAAAGTTTTGTTTGTTGTTTTTTTGTTCGTTGGTTTTTTATTATATTAAACACAAAGATTACTTCAAATGTTTCATTGTTTTCCATATAATGTGTGTGTGTGTAGGTGTTTGTGTGTGTAATGTATATATAAACTAGATATTTACATACGCAAATTATTACTTTCCAAATGATAACTAGAAATTAAAATTAATCTTCAAACATGCAAGCGATTCAAATGAGACAAATACATAACTTAACCAGCAGAGCTTCTGCTCTCCGGTTAACTTTTTTATTTCAATTTCTTAGTTTCTTTTTAATGGGTGAAGTATTTGTCGAATGCAAAATCAAATGCAAATGCTACAGATAACGGTAATTACAAAATATAATATTAAGAACTAAGATTGTGCCATTTTAAAACAATAAGCTACAATAAAGTAATGTTACCTGGTTTATGAGTTGGTTTCTGGATGGTTATGCTAAATGATATACGAGTTGTGGGAAAAAGGAGGATGGAAAATCTAAGGGATTAGTAGTGTGTGTGTGTGCCCTAGTTCTCATTTGATTTTCATATGAACTTAAGAACTATAAACAAAGCTGCTACTCTAGAGAGAACTTTCTATAAATCGAAATCATAATAATAATAATAATATGCAAATGCCAAAAAATATTCAACAAATGTTATTCAGAGTTACTTGCTACAAAATGGTTGAGATTGTTCAGTGGAGACTAAACTAAGTCTAAAACTAATTCAAATAAGAGTCGTCGCACACATATAAAACACAACAGAAATTTTGTTTTGTTCGTTGTGGTAATTTTGTAATATTTATATTATTAAGTACAAATAACAGAGTTAGGGGGAGATAGTATAAAGTAGGAGAGTATGAGTTTGGTAGGTGGTGTTAAGTTGGTGAGTGATTGCTTTTTAACTCTGTTGTTGTAATCTATGCTGGGTGAATTAAATTCGAACTCAACTAAACCTCTAACATAATAGTTTTTGATCGCTTCCTAGTCGGTTAGCTGGGTTTAAACATTAATTAATCAAATAACTCTTTGTCTTGAGCAAAATGTTTTCTTTCTTGCAGTTTTCTTTTCTTTCAATTAATTAATACTGCCCTTGCAGGAGTTTCTCATTAAAATTTCAATTGAGTTTCGGGCTCCGAAAAATAAACAATTCTTCGATTTTCATTTAGTGAGCGCCATTTGTGGTTAAAACGAGCGTTAAGTTAACTTATAAGATTCATTTCTTGCTCTTGCTCTCTTGCTTTTTATAAATATGTTTTTATATTTACTTTTAGTTTTTTTTTTTTTTTTATTTATGTTTATTTTAATTTAGGTTTAGGTTTAATGGTTTTGTTTTTATGCACTAAAAATTATATATTAACGGCTACATTTAAACGCAATCACAATCGGTGGTTTTTTAATGTGTTTTCCTTTCTTTTTTTTTTGCTTTTCTAACGCTCCGTAATTTTTGCTTTTTGGTTTTGAATTTTGTTTTTCCTTGATTTTGCTTTGCTTTCTTTTCTTTTTGTTTGTTGCTTATATTGCTTATGATTTATATATATATATATGTGTATATTAGTTAGTATTTATTGAACTCGCCCTCTCGAGGGCGCCTTAAATATAATACTTAATTTGCCTTCCGTGTATCGGACTACTAACTAAGCCAAACTCAAAGGAAAACCAACTTCGTATGAGTGTTTGTGTTTGTTGTGTGTGGTTCTATGAATATTTATGGATGGGCGAGGGCCATGTGGATTTTGTATGGGGAACTACAACTAGGGGTGGTGGTAGTGGTGGTGTATGGTGTGTGATGAGTGTTTCATTCAAATTACCAAACAAAACCCGCGTCTTAGACGTACATGCCCATGCCATACATGGTGCTCCAATCGACGCCCTGGAAGCTTGACATATCCACATTGGCCAGAGCATAGTTGGAGTAGGCAGCAGCTGGATTCGCAGCGGCGGCGGCAGCAGCAGCAGCCGCATTCAGGGGATTACCGGCCATTAGTCCAGCTTGCTGGGCAGCAGCTGCCAGGCTGTGGGCTCCAGCGGCACCTGCACCATTCGCGGCATTGGCCGCCAAAGCCGCAGCCGCTGCCGCCGAATGCGCCTGCGAAGCGGGATTCGAGACGGCGCTGTGGTGGCTCTGTTGCTGCTGTTGGGCGGCGGCCACATGGGCGTTGTGGGTCTGTTGCTGGTGGTGATGTTGCTGCTGTTGCTGTTGATGATGGGCAGCGGCGGCCACGCTCTGCGCCTGATGGGCCTGCATCAAGGCGGCGTTGGCAGTGGCGGCGCTGGCGGGGATCGAGTAGGGTGCATACCTATAGGGGATAATCAACTATTAGTTAGATCCTCAAGAGATAACCTAGCTTTATCACTTACCTGACGCTGTGCAAGGCAGTTTGCGGATATGTGGTCAACAGCTTGCCGAAGCCCGCCTGATTGGCCATCGAGGCAGCCGCGGCGGCATTTTGTACTTGAAACGGATTCTGTGATATGAGGGCGGCCTGCTGAGCTGCGGCGGCTGCTGCCGGCGATTGCAGCAGCTGTGTGGGATTCTGAAGCATAGCCAAGGGGTTCATAGCGGCTACGCCGGCACCACGAGCTCCAAGTAGCTGACCAGGAGCGGTGGGCAATTGAACACCCAATGTACCCAGCATAATACGCTTCTGGAGAAGCTGAGCAGCCGGGGTCACAGCTTCCTTTGGCTGTGCCTTCTTGCATTCAACTTTCTTGTTCTTGATAGTGTGGAAGTGAATCTCACAGACACGATCGACCACATCCTCGTTCTCAAAGGTCACAAATCCAAAGCCACGATGACGCTTCGTCTGCTGGTCCATCAGCATGACCGTCTCCTCGACGGGTCCAAACTGGCTGAAGTAGGCTTTAACCTCCTCGGCGGAGGTGTCTTGCGAGACGCCGCCGACGAAGATCTTCTTGGTCTTGTTGGCCTGGCGAGGTCTGTTCTTTGGAGTGGCATGCTTGGGATCGATCTTCTTGCCATCGAGTGTGTGAATTGGCACCTTGAGGACCTTCTCCACGGTGCAGGGTTCTTGGAATGTGATGAAACCAAAGCCGCGACTACGCTATAGGTGTTCACGCGATTTTTGTGTTTGTGTGGGTGGCAAAAGAGAAACAAATAAATACAGATACATTAGTTTTGGTCAAAACATTTAGTTAATTCAAGTACAGAGCTTCGGTTAGAGGCGACTAAAGTCTAAGTTGCAAATTTTGTAGTTATATAACTAGGATTAATAATCGTAAAATGTCCTACGGAACGTTAGCAAAAGTCCAACAAAGTAAGAATCAATCAAGTCGATCGGAACTCGATCTTCCACAAGTATATAAAAATTATATATATAAATATATAGATATATGTAAACACAGATACGGATACAGTTTATATGCATGTATGTAGATGGCTTTATTGACTGATTTTGGGCGTGGCCTTCTTACGCTTTTTGCTCATCAAATTTGCATTGTTTTTCAAATTGTAATTTCTTAATTTTTTTTTTTGTGGAATAAACACAAATCCAAAGAACACAAAATATGTTTCAACTAAAAACTAAAATTCGTCTAAGGATACTTTTGCTTTGTTAACAGAATACCAATATTTATACGCAAGTAGATCGATCGTTATATGGTCATTTGCTAAACTGGAACATACATATATCATATAGAAACATTACGAAATATATGCAATCAACGTGTTCACCATATACTGATGCGGCACCCCTCTAGATCCCAGTTTTATATAAATATATATATTATGTGTAGGTACAGGAGGCATAGATATTATATACACGAAAACTGGAGGATACCAAAAACATTCGTGTTCACTCGGATGTGAATGCGAAATCAACTCAAGGATACAAATGTATGTGGCAATTACATAATGGTGTATGTGATAGTAAGGCTTTGATATATAGAAAAGTACAAGAAAAGTGCGTTTTAGAAGTATAAAACAAGTTTATAAAATAATATCAAAAATCTACCAGTTTGTCTTATTAAAAAGTTAACCAGTTTTTACGCATTAATATTGCAAAATTGTTAAATAGTTCTAAAACGCACAGTTTTCAAGATAGGTTTGTTAGAAAAAAAAAAGGTGGGAATGCTCTAGATATGTGTTCTAAAAATGATCGAAGCTCTTTTCTTCGCAACTTCTTTTCCTTTTAAGTAAAGTTAAAGCCCATTTTGCCATACAATTCGTTTTCTTTGGTTAGTTTTCTTAACAATTACTTAATAGTTTTTTTTTTTACAAATAATGCATCTTGAATGTATGATTGTTGTTGCTTAGTCTAATTAATAATTCTTTTACCAGTTAAATATTTTACAGTAAATGGGGAATACAATTTGTTCTTAAGCCTAGGGCTAAGTAGAGTCAAATGTCTTAAATACAATTTATTGTACATATTTCGAGAGATAAATAGAGAGAAACTATATGTGACTACCTACCTAAAGAGAAAACTATATAAGTTCTAGTGTATTTAACCCTTGGATGTATAGAAAATCCTTTTAAGACGAGCTTTATTTATGGGCGAGGGTATTATTGGTGGGGTAACACAAATATCTACTTCCATATACAGGACGACCTAGGAGTTTTGAACTTTGAAATTATGCCGAATTCTGTGGATATTCTATTATTTACTAAGCATAATGGATATTTTCCAATCAAAGTGGTTACAAACATGATCCCAAAAAAACAAAAAAATCAATTTCTTAATAAATATTTAAACTACAAAACTTAAAAGATATGGGCTGGTTAATTGAAATGAATCGATATATGCCAAAGAAAATTAAAAAGCATTAACTAAACACTTACAAATAAACAGAGAATGTACGTTATAAGGTCTCTAACATTTACGGGGTCTTGCAATATGGTAATAAATATTGTATGTATTGGGTAAATTATGCTAAACTAAGGTTCTTATTTATGTTACACAATCAATTCAACAGTTGCCAGGACGACTTTTCGGTTCCATCTTTACGCTAAAGTGGGAACATTGGATGGTATTATTAAGGGGTTAAAGCACGCCTCTTTAAACTATAGTTTAAGTTCTAGTTATAATAACTGTGTAAGATATGAAAGATAAAACTCGTTAGTTTGATTGGCTTTCGAGGCTTGCTTAAGATCAATGCGTGGTTTTTGATTTTTGATTTGTTTTTTGTTTGGTTTTTTGGGTGAGAAACGCTAAAGTAAATCAAGTACACAATACGGAGTACGAGTACGAGTACGATTAGGAGGAGTACAAGAACGAGTACATTCAATTAGAGATACGATTACAATTATGCAGTAGTTATTATTATTGCTCAGAGTTATACGATATACGAGAGTTACGATGCGCCAGTATTGAGTAATTCAAGTACGCTAAAAGATTTCTTTTTTTTTATACAATAGTTATAGTAAAAGTACTTGGCGATTGCTTTTTGTGGATTTTTTTTGTTTTTTTTTTTATAAAATGTACCTAGGCCATCGTCGTTGTTGCGTCGTCATCCTGTGGTTGGCTTCATCGTGACTATGGTTACCTGGGCCAGGTATTCATTTGCTGGTTCCTTCATTGGCTTCCGGCCTTTGTCCTTGACTCGAGTCTCGTCACTTTAGGTTGTGGTTTTATGTTTATTAAAATTATGTTATGTTTAGTAGATCGTACATTTAGTTTACTACATATGACTAGCTATATAATTGACTGATCTTAGGTGTGCTTATGGACTACAGTACACTACCCCAGATCATCGCAAGGATCGTCTGTCTGCTTTATAAGAGATCTGCGACCCGAAGACAGTTGGTAAACCAGTTTTCTTCTTGCTTCTGTTGTTTTTCTTCATTCTTTTGTTTGTTTCTTGTTTTTTCTTTTCTTATTTCTTTTCTTATATACTCTTTTTTTGGTCTTTTCAAAAAGGGGGGAAGGAACAAAAGGTGTTTTTATGTGAGAGTGTGTATGTGTGTGTGTATCTTGAGGGGTCAGGACACAACCCCGTTATAGTCGATCGCGGCAAATATAACTGCCCTATCATGCAGTCTCATTCCGTAATTGCGCAATTGGCTTGGAAACAACCCCAGGTGTGTACGTATTCTCGTCGTCGTTTAGAATTTTGTCCTGTGCCGCCGAATCCAACTAAATCGAACCCTAGCTGCGGAGGTCGCTCGGAACAGCTGCGCCGGAGGAACAGGACTCGGCACAATGCGCCAGCTGCCGTTTTTATAGCCCGAAAGGCAGAGCGCGCGCGCGCTCTTTTTTCGTTGGGGAGCCAAACATTGTATATAATCGAATGGAAATATATGTATTTCGGTGTTTATATACCAACTAAATGCAAGTAGGATGTGTGGATAATGTCCGCTTATCAAGCGGACAAATTGCTCAAAGCATTAAGCATTTCCAAAAAGTCAATTTCCGCCGCAATAACTTGTCTTGCTCATGGGGAAACCTCCTATCGCAAGATATGGTTAGTGCTCGAAATAATTTGTCAGCAGGCCTTTGATGTTTCTTAGAAACAAGGTGATCTAAAAGGTTATTTGGAAAAGCATTTGTCTAGCAATAAATCAAATACTGGTAGAAACGAACTCCAGGTGAAACCAGAATTTCTTAGCAAGAGGAAATAACGTACGGCAGTGCCGAATAAATCACCTAAGGATTGAAGCAATATACTCGTAATAGTCTCCTTCTTTTCAGATCTCAGATTTAATCATTTTTGCTTCTGTTAAACTATTTCTATAAGTGTAGAGGATTAAATTTCTCAGGAAATGCTGCCGAAGCGGGTTCATAAGGAAATTGATACACCCTGCACACAAATTATGACAAGGAAATTGGTTCTTAAGTTCATGTCTCAATAAACAGTTCCGAGTGGATCAACCCCAAACAAGCTGATCTACATATAAAACCTGATTAAATTAAATTTTGGGTTCTCACCTCTCCTCCTCTTTCTCCTTCTCTTTCTCCACCTCCACGTCTACTCCCTTTTCTTACTCTGATTCTTTTGTTTTTGGCACGTAACGCCGAAAGAACTGTAATTCTAAACCTCAGCTGGAAGGCTGGAAGACTGGATGAAGAAGAAGAGGATGCAAAGAGGGCGACAAAACCTGCAGTTTTGCAGCTGTGCAAAAGGTAAATCACAAAATGGTAGCTGTAAACCCGAGAGGCAGGGGGATTATGGAGGTACATCATATACATACGACATGATAGACATAATATAATAGAAATGAAAATAGAGGATATTTCGGCTTACCTGGGTGACGGGATCCTTCATGATGAGGACGTCGGTGACGGTGCCGAACATGTTAAAGTATTCCTTGAGTTTGTCGGACGACGTCTGCCAGCTGAGTCCGCCGACAAAGAGTTTTCCGGGTGCTGGATCGGAACCACTGCCTCCGCTCAAACTCGGTGTGGAACGGCCAGAGGAACCGCTCTTGTTACTGCCACCCATAGCCGGTTGGCCATTGTTTTGTCCCGCTCCGGCGGATGCATTTACATTCTCCTTCAGTAGAGCCAGTGCCGCCTGTTGGGCCTGCTCCTGCTTGGGCTGATCTTGTCCAGCGGATACAACCACCGAGTTTTGAGTCTGTTGTTGCACCACGGCCTGCTGTGATTGCTGTGCGGCACTTTTCAAGACCGCTGCTGTGGTCAAACCACCGCCAATTGCGGCCACACCATTGTTAGCTATCGAAGCCACCAAAGCCTGGTGCAAGTCCCGGTTGTGGTGCGGATCTATTAAGCCCGCTGCTGCGGCGGCGGCTGCTGCTGCCGCGTTCTCCATGGGATTGCTGCGTGCGTAAAAGAAACTATCAGCGGTTAGCAGGTGATCCTCCCCAGAAGTGGGTGGCTGTGGTTGCTGGTGGTGCAGCATGGTGGCGCCCTCCTGAAGCGCGTGCATTTCCTGTTTTATCTGAATTTTGAAGTCTTTGCTCAACAATGGGTTGATCAAAAGGTTTTGCGTTTACTTTTGATATTCGTAAATCTCTGTTTTTCCTGTTTTCCTTTGGTTTTATCTTTTTTTTTTTTTGGTCTTTGGTTTTTTGCTACTTGTATGGTTTCCAAAAAAAAAAGTTTAGAAGTTCTTCTTCCTAGTATTTTTGAAGACTGCTACTTTTTTCGCCACTTGCTTTGACTACGCTTCCCTTTTTTCGGCTCTGCGTTGTTGTTGCCAATGGCAATGAATTGTGTTTTTTTTTGTTGCTCAACAAGCTCGCGAATTAATGCAAAGGCCAAAGTCATAAATAAATGCTTAAAACGATTGTGGAAATGTTCTACCAGCACGACACTAAATTTATCCTGTTTTTTTCTATCTATTTCGTTCTCGGTTTAATATATTTTAGCGGCTGCGACTGCGCAGTTTGGAATAAAGAACTCGAATGTTGTCATTTTTGCTGCTTCATCGCTGCCTAGCCTGAATTTCTGCCGGCGTCAGGATGTCGGAAGCAGCGTGGGGAAGAAAACGAATAAAACAGCTGTCAGTTAAAAACTGTAGTTTTCTTGCTGCGCTGTTAAGTTTTGACGTTTAAAAACATGCGCCACCTATGGCAACTCTGCTATCTGCACAAAACGCCATCTATAACAGTGAAACAAAATTTATCAGCCTAACGCAATATTATTATTGACAGGATTTTAAATACAGCAAGGGGCATGAAACAGAAAAATAAGTGTAGTCGTTCGGATTTTGCTATGTAATGGGTCTATGGCTATGTAATCTGTCTGTAACTCTGTAACATATCAAAACGCCATCTATTACTGTTAAATTTAATTATCAGTTTTTTTGCTTTTTCTTTCTTTTCCACTGTTAAGCAGCGGGTGTAAGGGAATTCGGAAAAGAGGACAGCTGTTTTTGGAGGGTTGCCAAGTGTGGCCAATTAGCTAATTAAGTGGCAATATGTTACTGATAGCATGAGCGTCGATGGTAAGGAATTAATACTAAACTAGAAACTAGAAAATATTTTGATAATTAAAAAACAGCGTATTAAGCTTCGCCATATTTTTCCAAATAAAATTTCTTATATATCTGTATATATCTATAAGGAACCCCTTCAAACTTTAAAGACCTACGTCCATAAATGAGAGTGCAAGGGAGATGACAATTAATAAGAGAGTGCAAAGCGATGTAAATAGAATTTTCTTACTCTTGAAAATTGAATGATTTACGATTGGGAACTGAATCTATTTTGAAATTTATAAGGCTACCAGTTGGAGAACTTGATATTTTATTCATCCCAATCAATTAACACCTCATTTTCATCAGACTACGAAGCCTATCCAAGCCTTTACTTTGAAAACATGAAACCTAAATTTAAAAAAATAAATAGCTAAATTTCAATGATTATCTATTATTTGATTTCAAATTTCACAGGCAATTCCTATATTGGTCATTTCAACGATCGCCCTAGCCGCTAAAATAATGGTCTGGATAATAGTCGGTTTAACCAGACATGACGTTTCCTTCACTAAAAATTCGGCCTTCTGTGATCAATTGGAGACCCGGCATAAATTTTTCTACCCAGCGAAATACCTCAAAGTGAGTCAATATTTAATCCATACTTAAACCGTTTTTAAACCTCCAATCCTTACAGTTTTACAAAATCAATCAAAAGTGCGAGGTGCCTGATGAATTGCTGAAAGCTAAGCTAGGGGACGCAGCTGGGCCACCAAGTAAATAAATTACACAAATTAAACATTTAAAGGACAATTCAAAGAAATTGTTTTCGAAAACGTCATTTAAAGATACGATAAGCAAAAGATTTCATCGCTTCCCAGAAATTGTCCTTTAACATTCCTCAACACATATTAACGTACTTTGCAAAGTATCATACGATCCTTTTTTGTCACCTTGCCAATCTTGTAGTCTGGGAGGCGTTGAAAATTTTCATAATTATCATGGATAAGCCCAACTAAATGAGAATTTTCTGTGCCAGTTCCAGTTCCAGAGGACGGTGACAAGAAAGGTGATGGTGATGGTTCAAATGTTAAAGGACTTATAGGACATGCTGTCCTTTCAGGAGTAGCTTTAGGATTGGCAGCAACGCTATGACATGTCATAAGACGAAGCATCTTATATACGAAATTATCGGTTTAACCACTCTGATACTTTTAGTTTATTTTAAATTCTCATTTACGACTTTTTTGATTTTGATATGTTTTCAACAGTTGAACAGGATGGCAAAAAAAAGAAGTAAAATTCGCCTGGACGAGAACTGGTCAGATAAGCATTGAAACTATGTACTTCATAGACCTGACCATACGGCTACCGTCTTGTCGTTTGGCCTTAAGGTTCCGCATCCGATAGAAAAGATTATCCATTGTATGCTGATAGGGCGGAGTTTATATACATGGTATGATTACAATATATGCAAATGAATTCAATTGATTAAATATTCATCCCTTAGAATTACTTTCATAATTTGAATGATCCCTTAGATTGAAAATTTTGTGGTTTTATGGCGGAAAATGTTGAATTAAATAATCTTTATATGAAATAAAATTTATCAAACTGTATTCAAAATCCTTACTCTGATTTAAAAAAAAAAAATTGAGTTTATTTGGAAAGCTGCGTCTAACCTCTGCCAGATGGCGCGTTGGCAAGTTTAAGGTCTGGCAACATCAAGCAAATGCAACAGTGGCGCCATCAGACGGCTAATAGCTGAACATTCGGTTTGTAAAGTAAAAATGTCCTTGATGTAAGATGTTAAAATGTAGTGTAAAATGTATTATGGTGGGCGTGTTTTGCCCTAAAATATCATTGATCTATATTAGTGAGATGATTTGGTATACTTTTTTTTGTAGATATAGCTCAAGGACCTCCTATACTCATTCAAATTTAAATTAAATGTTTATCTAAGAGTCAAACAAACTATATAGTTCTAAGGAAAAAACATAAGTTAATATGTGTTCGAAACTTATGGACACTAAAAAAGCCCTTCAGGCCAAGCAACGACATAAAGATGGAAGCTCAACGACAACCGGTTGTAACTAAGTAAAACAAAATAAATAACTCGCTTAAATATGAATATGTTTTGATAATGCCCTTAGCAAATTGCTGTACCTTTTGTGTGGACATCCCCTGCATGTCCTGCCGTCCCTCCTCCTTTCTTCCGTCCTTCCAATATTTCCAAAATATAAGCTCATTTTCCATTGCGCCTGCGCCTTTTGCACTCAAAACCCAAAAAGGAGGAGAGTTTTGGTCGAAAAGAAAAATCCCTAAATAAGAAAAAAAATCGTCGCTGCTTGGGACAATTTTCGGCCTTAAATTGGGACCACATTTTTTTGTTTGTGTGCCAAATGGAACGCATGTGTGTAGATGTGTGTGTGTGTGTGGGCAAAAACAAATCGTGACTGCGTTATGTGCGTTATTGATTTTTGGCCCAGGAAACGGGAAATAATGCCAAAGGATATGAAATTTATTAAAATAGATTGCAAAATAATTCAATGAAGATGTTGAAAAGTAAGCTTTGATGGCATGAGTCGTGGGCTGGTGGTATTTTCATTTTGTTTCCTGGGGTGGGGTTTTCTACCCTGCACGTGTGTGTTTGTGTGTGGTTTTTCCTTCATCGGTTGTTGAACTTTCCGAAAGCGACGTCGTCTGCAGGATATTTTTTGCCGTGTGAAAGACGTCTGTCAATTTTATGGCTACTGACCCAGAAAAATGGAATGCTAAAGAAGCCCTTTTGTGGGGTCAGAGGAGGGGTCCAAGGGGTAGGGGACCATAGCAAGGATTTGCTGAAAGTTGTGTGGGAAAAACCCGAAAATTATGTTGATGATGGTGATGACATCAGCAGTCGTCGACGCTGCCAGTGCCGCCGCCGCGATATGTAATTCGATTAGGCGCACTTAACTTGGCGTCCCCTTTTCCCCCTCTTCATATAGAAACCCCTACTGCTCCCATAATACTACCACGCATTTTAATTGCGTCAAATAAACAGCGGGGAAGGTGCTTGGTCACGAGCCATCATCCAACTTTTTATGGCCTCCCCGCCAAAACTGATGGCGTACACATTAAATTAAGCACTTAAAGGTGACTTGATATATTTTAGGACTTTCCCTAAGACGCAATACCCAGAGAAGCCAAGCAATCGTTAGCTAGTTTGTTGGATAAGTGGAAAAGTAAATATAAGAGCTAGGAAAATTAACTGCTAAGTATTCTATTAAATCAATTTAAGAAGATTTAGGATGACAGTAAGGACATTATTATATATTCTATGTCATATCGTCATCACATTCTAAAAAAAGCTTTCAGTGTTTTCCATTTCTAGTCAATCTAGTCAATCATACAAATAATTTGCTTACTATTTTTAAACCAGTTTTAAATCTACAACGAAAACCTATTAACACCAGAACAAGATTTTAGATTTAAGCCCTAGCAGTCTTCAGAGTTCTTAACCTTTTTTAAGCTGGTAAATCTCTTTCCTCCGCAGATACATATATATATTTTATAGAGCACCTGAAATCACCAATCTATTCCCCAACCGCCCTTTTACGACTACCCAGCTCAAAGCAGCTTGTCAGGACAAAGTACTTTCTAATCCGAACCGGCGATCCGATGACAAACTGCAATCTGAAAATAACTCAATCCACAGGACTGTAGCCTGCTGTCTGAGTGTTTTCCCTGGGGCCAAAAATTGCAATGCAATTTACCGGATCCGTTGCCAGAAACAACAATAACAATCGTCGTTGTGGGGGAGAATAAAAAACATGAGAAGGACCAAAAACAAATTGCAAGGCTTTCCTCTTCACAAAGCCTCCAACAATTTCCCAAACCCTTACCTGTCGTTTTCGGTCCTTCGTTTTTTTTTGCCCTGCATTTTTCGCCCACCCACAATCAAGTGCATAAAATTTATGTAGAGACACAAAACTGCAGCTCAGTGAAAAAACCAAAGAGCGAGAGAGCTGTATATTTTCATTGAGAAAAATGCCACAAAATGAAAATGCGATGGACGAGGCAACTCTTTTTCGGGCTAAAAGCATATGGCGCAACTTTATTGTTTTTACATTTGATTTTTCCAAACGCGTCTCCGTTTCTCGGGGGGAGGGGCATGAAAATGAAAAGCACTTGCACTGTGGCAAAGTGCAGAGGGCCCACGGAAAACGCCGCATAAACTCGGCTCTGGGAAAAGTCTATATATCATATATGTGTATGTGTATATGTGAGATTTACAGGGGGGTGGCTTTCGTCTTTTTAGAACTGGAAGGCAGCAGCGAAGCTGACTGGAAGTAACCAACCACCCTCGTTGAAAAAGAAGCGCCGGCCCGTATACACCGAGCGAAAAAATTGTGTAGAAGAGCACATTTCCACCGGCGGGACATAAATCCCGCTGTGTGTGTGCCAGCCAAGGGAAAGAGAAAGCAAGAGTAGAGCAAAAGAGATGGCTGGAAGCAAGCAACCCCCTTTGAAATCGGGGGAGATATATTTTGCAATTGGAATTTGTGTGCGCGCGCAACCCTCGGATTTTGGACGAAAGCCGACGAAAATCGAGACGATGGTGGCCGCTACCCTGGGCTGCCTTTCAGTCAACTTTGGGTTTCCGTACGTGCAATTTCTCTCGGACCGATGACGGATAACACGGACTTCGAAAGCGGGCCAGAAACTAACCCAAATCCCTTTTGGATAGCCCCCACCTATTAACCGCCACCCCCTCACCAATGTGTTTCAGCTAGTGAATAATGTGTTGCAAGATTAAAAAGGAAGAAGCTACAAGATCGGAAAAGGATATATATATATATGCCACAAAATCGGACGCTTGCCATTGATATTGTCCTGTCACAGCAGTATTGTAATACTATATCTTATAGCTTACTGCTGGGTCGGGGCATTAACATTGTTGAGCGTCATTAGCAACGAGTGGCGGCAAGGAAAACCCGAGGAAAACGCACCAAGCTTTCTTTTCCGGCTATGTGGAAAACACACTCACAAGAACACACACACACAAACACAGCAGCAGTTCGTCCATTTGCGATTGTGTGTGTATATGAGCAACCGGAAAAATCAATTTTCCATTTTTAATTCAAAGCTCACACACAGCACAGGACACTCGCACACACGCACACAACGCACGTGAATGTATATACAGATACATATACATGTATATATACTATATATATGTGTGTGTGTGTGTGTGTATCGGGCCAAAAAGGGATAAGCAGGATGCTGCAAATTCTGCAGGGCAAACGAGAAGCTGAGAGAACGAGAGAAAGGGACAGAGGCATCCTTAGAGAGAGAGCAACGAGAGAGAGATTCAGCATATAGGGATAAATCCCATTTTGTACAGGAAAAATGCTGGGAAAATTAATCAAAATTAGTTTAGGAAAATTATAGTTATTAGTTTTAAAAAGAAGAAAGCCCTTTCGATTTTGTCCACTCCTTTTTCCAAAAAGTTCTAACAGAAAGCTAATAAAAAGGCAGCGACCACTCCCTGATTTTTCTCGGTTTTCGTGGGAGTTCCTGGGTGGGCTTAAGAAAGGCATTAAGGGGATGCAGAGGCGTACCCACTTTTTTTTGGTGCTCGGAAAATTGTTGCCAACCCGAAAAGCCGGAAAAGTTCAGGGTAATGCCCAAAGTTGCACCAGAATCAGCAGAGCAGCATCATCATCATTATCAACAGCAACCCCTAAATATAATCCCAATGCATTATCTCAGTAAAGGGGCCTGCATAAGGATACCAATAGCAAACAAAAAATAAACCCAAAAAGATGACAAAGAAAGATGATGAATTGGGAGATTGAGGGCAGGGCAGCAGCAGCATCAGCGGCATCAGCAAGGACAGCTGAAAAATGGCATTTAAATGCAGTTCCGAAAAGAACGACCTCAAAATCCTCCGCTAAGGGTTGATCTCTCCTACTCTACATAAAATCTCACGTTTCTGCAGTTTTGATGACGATGATGATAATGGCCTAGCTAGGCAGGATTAGTCCATGAAAAAGGGGAGTGAGATTTGAACACATTTGCCGGCCTGCCATGCTGCACATGCTGTTGCTATTTCATCATTGTAGGGTTTATGTTTCTGTCAGTAAGGATCAAAGCCTTTTTGGGCGTTTCTCGGCAGCTGTATGTATGTGTGTGTATCTGTGTAGCTGTGTCCTGTGTCCTGTGTACTTTGCCTAAATACTTCGAAATTGGTTAAGCGTTTGTTGTGCCCATCAAATTGACAACGCTTAGCTGTGCTTGAGGTAGCCAAATTGTTTCATCATCATTATCTGCATCTGCATCTGCATCAGCCTCGGCATCCTTGTGCCATGATTAAGGATTAAGGGTTGCTGCAATTTAATATGCACCGGCGGAAGTGAAGTGCTTTTCGTATGAAACGAAAATGTCGCCGTTGACATGCAAGCAATGAGTTGGAATACTTAATTCGAGGAGGATTACTCATCCTGCATTTGAAAACTTTCCTCAAGGATTTTCTAAATTATTGCAAAATGTGTTAATTGGTTTAATATTTCTAACAAATTTTGTATGATTTTAGTAACTTTTTTGTATAAATTGTAGCTATTTATTTGTAGAGACTTAAAGGTTGACAAATCTAAACCAATTTCATTCATTTTGTTATTTAATATGTATTAACTTTAATGTAAAGGACTAAAATAAATGACAAGCCATTGATATCCTTCCAAAACTCCACATCTGATTAAGGACAATGACATTTTTTCGCACCCTAAATAAACATGTCAAAAACTTGACAGATTTTTATACCCATAAATCTTTTCTATGACGTCAAGCAACCTATATTTTAAGGACTCACAATTAACCCTTTTAAATAATTAATTGCAATAACAAAACAAAAAACGAGGAAAAAGTCTCTTCTAAAAAAATAAATAAACGGAAGCTGGTGATAAAAAGTGCGGAAATTACGTTGACCTAAAAATAAAATTGCCAACCAAGTTAGCCGGCATTGCCACCTAGACACACACACGCACACCCACATTCACACATCAAAAAAGAAGGGTAAAAGAGAAAGAGAGAAAAGGATATATATATAGAGAGGGAGAGAGATTCAGCAGGACACGCACTTGCACTCGTGCACTTCAAATATGATGAAAAGGTAAACGTTCAACTCATACAAACGCACACGACATCAAGAGAGAACCGACGTAAATGGTAGAGGATTTGGCAAGGATAAGAAGGATATATATATATATATATATATACTTGGGGCAAGGGTCCTTTCGAGACTGGCTGTGCATGTAAATGCTTGGAAGACCTGAAGGGTTAAGGTAAGTGGTTACCCCGTAACCACCGACGGCCTGATGTCCTCCACCCACATCCGCATGCAAATTGTCGGTGCTTTTGTGAGCTTATTAAGTGCTTGAAAGTGCATTACACAAAAAAAATATACACACATATAAGACAGAGGGGGAGGAGATTGCAAGAGGGGTGGGGGTATGGGGGATCAAGGACCTGCAGCCGGAAAAATGCTTTCAAGTCAAGCCACTCGGAAATGAGAACCCGGCAACTGCTGCTCCCTTTTTTCTCGCTCTCTTACACAGCAGAATGACAGCATCGAAATGGGCAACTGCACTGAGAGAAATTGTAACTTTACATGGAAGATCAATGCCAATCCGGGAAACTATTTTTGTGTACTAACAACTTATACCTTTACTTTGTTAATATTTGAGGAAATTTGTAATAAACTGATGCCTCTTTAACATCCTGGTTCTTGATGGTTATTTTTAGATCACAATTATAAAAGTTTCAGAGTAGAGAAGTGAAGTTATTTTCCTCAGTGTCACAATCCCAACACACAAAACACACATATTGCTTACAAAAACTTGTCCTGCTTTTAGTATAATTTTGCTAATTAAAAGGTGTGACAAAAGTGGGGCCAGCGCCCCATAGAAAGTCAGTCTCGAATTACGAAAAGCATCCTTCAACAAGTATGTGGCAAGGACAGTTGGCCAGGAGTCATAGGCCGCAACCTAGATGCTTTGCTCATTTGCATACAATACCGAAGGCAGGTGAAAGCCAAAGAAAGGTAGCCACTGCCAGCAAGGAGCAAGGGTGAAAGCGCCTCAGAAGACACCACTTGAGGTTGTCAGACAAACCAGACATCGTTGGCAAGTGACCACTTTGCCGTCTGAAGGACTCTGTAGAGCCGGAAATTCCTCTAGCTACTCAGTCCTCTCTGGGAAATTAACAAACAGGATGCTTGTAAATAGAAGCAGTTAGCTAAGAAGCTCAGTAGAGAGAGAGTCTTAAACGGAAATCTGGCAATTGACATAATTACATCTAAGGCTAAAGTTCAAGTATCCTGTAATAAAAGATAAAATGGCAAAGAAAAAACTTGTAGTCCTTAGGCTATTTCCTAATAAACATAATAATACTTGAAAATATAGAACAGCTGCATTTATATTTTGTCCAATAGCCCAAAGGAAATCTAATAACTGTAATAGTAATGAACTAAAGAAGACATATGCCTGTGAAAGCTCACAGAAAAGCACACATCCTGTGGATATAATTTAAAGCTTATGCTTAGAGCTTTTCCTGATAGAGACATGAGTTTCCGGTTCGAAGAACTTACATCCAGGACATGTAATAAATCAGAGTATAAAAGCTTTCCTAAAAGCTTTTCATGAAAGCTGTGCTATCCGCCAACGGATAAAGTATAAGAAGGATACATTTTAACAGAGACCTAACAGATGTCTGTTATCAATCTCAAATGCTGCAGAAAATTATTGAATTTCTATCTGTAGAAAACCTTTCTTAAGTTTTCTGTTCAAGAAAGGATTTTGTTCCTTTCGTTTGCTACTATTTTTACAAAATATTATTTTACAAATCTTAAATAATAAAAGATAGTTTCCATCAAGCAAAGAAATTCCTTGTGAGATTCTGTTCGTGCAAGTTTTTTCAAATTAATTTAAATTTCTTACCAGAAAACAGAAAATATCAATAAAATCAAATCCATATATTAAAACTAACATGCAAGCTAGCAAAATATATCCACTAATCCTAAACAGCCGCCATAATTCACATTCTAATCAACAATTTGAAGAGATACTTCCTTTGGCTGCCATCAAATTTGATGTCAACAATCTCACTCAGCCTTAACTGATGTAACAAATTCGTTTATGCCGCTCATTGTTTACCCACAAAGGGCATATACGCTGAGGCTGAGTCAGCAGCTTTGAGGCGACGCATCCTGCTTATGTTCGCAGGATGCAGTGCGACAAGTGGCACTTGAGAAAATGCTTCTTTTTTTTAGGGCTAAGCGGAATGCGGGTTGCGGGCGGATGATGATGAGATATACCCGCCTACACATGAAGGGTGCACACTCGTCTGGTAAATGCTGACACCAAAGACCGGCTCAAGTATTTTGCGGGCAAATAGTCTACAGAACGGGATACTAGCATATCCCACACTCAACCATATACTCCACATCCTCAAACAGTCTGAATATCCTTGTAATAAAAGTCACTCGAGTGACATTTTTGAGCTTGCGGCCATAAAGTAAATGGCAAACAAAGCTCAGACTGCCGGAGTTCCTTTTCCAGTCGCTGTTTTTAATCGATTATTGTCGCGTTATTGTTTTTTATACCCTCCCCACCCCGATCTCTCACTCTCTTTCTCTCTCTCTTTTTCTATTGAAAACAAATCCTGTCTGAGTGTCGTCGCATTGCAAGAACAACAACAATGGCCTGATGGCTGCAAAAAATGCAAATGCAAAAATCCAAGTGCAAAAGATTGTACATTGAACTTGTGCTGTATCATCATCATCTATTCGAGGGGGAGGAGTAGAAGTTGATTTGAAGGGGTGCGGAGGACGAATTGAAATGTCCTCGCATGCTGCTGCTGCTGCTACTGCTCCTTCGTGACATCATATTCAATATACTCGTATATATAATCCCGATAAGAGTGCGGACTTCTGAGATATGGTTACCTTCGTTTATCTTTCCCTGCTGCTGCCTGAGGGCTCTACCCCCTGCAACACACGATTTTCTCGTTGTTTTCGTCACGTTTTGCGATCGGCGATAAAACCAAAGGAAAACAGCTGAATGTCCTGAAGCAGGTCCTACGTTGTCGTCGTCGTCGTTGACGTTGTTTCTTATTTCGCAGGCAAGAAATGCACGCGCCGGATGTCGTTAAAATGGCGACCGCCACTTCCGGTGGGCGGAATTCGCGGAAATATGTGAACTTACCTGCAAAGTAAACAAAAAAACAAATGTGCAAAATTTCGATTAGTATGCTTTTGCAGCAGGCATATGAAAATTTTGTGGATTTATGGTTAAAAGGCAATTGCGAGATTGAGATACTTGGTGTATTAAATGTTAAATATTTTAGATTTTATAACCCCAAAGATGTGTAAATATTTAAAGACTTTTTAGGTTTTTAACATCTTCTTTTTATGAATATTAATTTATTACATTTTCAAGAAATTATATATATTTAAAATATCTCTCAGCCAAAGAAATATTGAAAATCTCTCCATAGTTTTCTCAAAGGGAAAGTATAATCGGACCGCGTTATTTTCAGTCAGCTTTCATATGGTTGTGGTTTAAGTTAAGCTTCAAAAGCTCGAAAGGCTGCAGGCGGTTTGATAAGGAACATAAATTTAAATGCATTTCATTTAAAAATATTATCCCTTATTAACTTGTATAACTCATAACAAATAAGATAATAATTTAAGTTATTTAACAACATTTTTTTTACAAATATTTTCAGCCCGTTTATTGACCTATCCCAAAAAATATAAATCTTTCCCTCTTACTCCCTCTCATTTTGCGCTAAATAGCAAGAAACTTGGTCAGTGGCACAGATTCCCCTTGGTCTTGCCTCCGTCTGCGTCCACTTACGGCCAGAACTTTTGTTGACCCAACAGATTAGAGGCTAATGGGAGAGCACTCTCCCAGTAATTCCCTTCCAACTCAGGCATTAACAATTACCTCTCGTTAAGAAGAAATCAATGAAGTTGAGAGTGGGAAAAAGTGTGAAGTTCTGCATATCAATAAGCCGAAAAATTATGTTTAACAAATATACAGCTAAATGCTTCGCTTTCGTTGAGTTAAGTTCAGTTTGAAATCCCAGTTCGGAGAGGAAAGAACCGATATCCGAAAAATGGAAAAAGCTGTGCATTTGGTGTTCGTTTTGCAGGCAGGTGACTATCATCATCAACAGCATCAAAAATTGCTGGAGCATTAGTAATGTACACGGAGAGAAAATATTCAGTAAACTGCTTAATAGTTCTGTAAGAAGCGACGAAAGTGTTTTGTGGTTAAAACTGAAACAGTTTTATAGATCCAAGAAACATTAGCTTGTGTTTTAGTAAAGGTTTTCCAGACCTCCTTTTTGCCTTCCTTAATTTCCTATTTTTCCCACTGTGTACCTTACTCATTTGCGAATTGGTCTAGTTGCACAGTTTCGAGCCTAATGCACTTTCATTTCGATGACACCAGTTTGTTTGTGGCTCGCTGCAGCAAAGCTGAAAGCGTCTGATTATAGGGCTGGGTCTGAGGGCTATAATGCCGCTGCAGACAACAATCAATTGCAGGAGGCGGTGGCAAAGACGAATCCAAGACCCGCAGTGCAAGTAAAAGTGACAAATGAAGTGGAAAGTGCCCTCAGAATGAGAACAATGATGATGCGGATGAGAAATCGGGGCGGTGAGCGGTGGCAGACGAACTACAACTTTGACACACAAATGCCACTGATGTCGTCTGGCCTAATGAGTCCCAGCCTGCTGCCAATATTGGATGAGCAGTCGGTGCAGGAGAAGAAGCCAGAGCAGCAGGGACATAACTTGGCCAACGAGCCCAGTTCGGTTGAACAGCAATTACTCCGCCTGCAGACTGACTACAAATTGCTGTACAATGCCGAACATCACACCTATTTTCACCTGCACACCCACGTCCCGGAGGACATCATCAACCGGCAGACAGGACCAACGAAATCCGAGAAGGCATCACCTCATCGCCGGTTATTCCAGCAGGTCGTGGGCAACACGCTGACCGCCGCCTTTGGCCTAAATGTGATGAACAAGGGCCAGTTGGTGGGCGGTCAAATGGGGGTCATCAGCGAACAGGTGAATCTCTACGATGCCGCCTCGTTGCGTCGGTCGCGCTTCAATCCCTTCAATCCCACACGGTGAGTGCTGTTGGTGGAAAGCAACACGACTATTATCAACGATTTTCCAGAGCCATTTCCAGAGCCATTTTTCGGGCTTAAAAGGCTCTCGGCAATATGGCATTTTCAGGAGCTTTAAAAGAGATTTTGGGAAATTGGAAAATCTTCTTAAATTTAAATTTTAAAAATATTTGTGATATTTTCTAGGATCCTTATACACGGATGGTTGGGCAACGCCAATGCTAACATGTACAGTGCCCTATTACCCGCCTATTTTGATCTGAAAAATGTTAGCTACAACATTTTCACCGTGGACTGGGGACGTGGAGCCATCGCTGACTATATAACGGCCAGTTACAGGGTCAAGCCGGTGGGTCAGGTTTTGGCCAAATTTGTGGACTTTCTGCACCAGGAGGCGGGATTGCGCTTTGAGGATCTTCAGCTAGTTGGATTCAGCATGGGAGCCCATGTGGCAGGATTGATAGGAAAACATCTGCAAACTGGACGTCTACGGATGATCCGAGCTTTGGATCCGGCACTGCCCTTCTTTCGGTATGCCAAGCCAATGGAGCGTTTGACCGCCGAGGATGCCGACTATGTGGAGGTGCTGCATACCAGTGTGGGCAGCTATGGCTTCGATCGACCCCTGGGTCATGTGGATTTCTATGCCAATTGGGGCAGCCAGCAACCAGGTTGTTTTTGGCATGAATGCAGCCATTGGAGGGCCTTTATGCTGTTTGCCGAAAGTCTCTTAAGGGATCGCAATACGGGCTTCTTAGCCCGTGGCTGTCCAGCCGGTGAATGGCAGCAGTTGACCCGCTTCCATCGTTGTCCAATGGATACTGGAACTAACCAGACCATGGGCGGTGATTTGGCCAACGTTTCTAGGGAATTCTTGGCCCAAAGACAGGGTGTCTATTATTTTGAAACAAACGACCAGCCACCCTATGTTTTAGCACAAAATGTCAGCTCGGAAAAAGAGGGTGGCACAAATAAATAAAGAGAGAAATGGCTGAGAGAACGTAATGAGCAAAATGCAAGTGCAGTTCGCGTTTTTATTTCTAATTAGTAAGTGCATGTGTACTACACACATACTTGTATACATTGAAACATGTGTATGTGTGTGTGTGTGTATGTTGGTGTTGTCCCATTTCTAAAAGCCGGCTGGCAAAATTAAAAAATGCTGCCATGTGTAAAATGCTTTTCATGCCAGTCCCAGGCAGTAAAAATAGCAAAAAAAAAGGAGTAAAATTTATGAAAACATCCATGCAGGAAATATAAGAACGAACACAAGACCCGACTGTAGTTCAGTCTGGAAAATCAACTAGAAATAGGTATGCCCAAAAAAATACGTATGTAAGCCCAAAAAGTAATCCGCTTTAACGAGAGAGCTCAGAGAAAAATTAAAGTATAAAATGACGTTTTTCTTCTCTTATTTATTTAGTAAATATCTTTTAAAAGTAACGTAAAAATAAGAGGACTTTATTTAATGATTATCATATTAAATCTGATTTCTTGGGTGCTTTCTCGGCTGTATCTAAAAAATCAACATACTCTTTTGAGCAACCAATGACCATGACTAACGATACCTATCAGTTTTTGAAAACAAAAATCTTTACCAAATTTTGCTTGTTTGACAAAGGGTTACATCACGTTTTCTTGTCAAAATGTGTCAAAAATACAAATTTTTAGGCTTGAATGCAGTTTTAAAGAGAATTTTATTAGGAGTTCATTGATGTATGTATTTCAACAATTATACTTTTTGTTGTAGGAAATATATCATCCACTTTTGCGAAAAATAAACTGAAGAATAAGCCTGAAGTTCCTACTAAACTTGCCTAATATACCGAGGCCAGAAGGAAATTCAAGGAAAAACAAAGAAAAGCTTCTCGTGAGTCCCATTAAAATTTCATCTGGCCTTCTGCTAACATAAATTCTAAAACTTGGCTTTGCTCACAAGTCAAGGTTTAATTGGCCAGGGCAGTAGAACACACTCCACCGGCTGATATAGCACACTTCGGGGGCATTGAGACCTTGGTTCTGGCCAAAATGTCGCACGGCTGCCGCTAATGTGATTTTTACGCATCATTTGAGTGAACAGCCAACAATTGGCCAAAGGGCACAACAACGATAAAAACTTGGCAGCTGCGGATGGCTGCCATAGCAAATTACGTGAACAAATATTGGCAAAAGCAATACAAATATTCCGTTCAACATTCTCTAGAGTTAATAGAAAAAAAGCGAAGGCAATATTTATTTAGAACATTCTTGTAATAAGTCAAGTCTATTTGAATTCATTTATCCAAGAAATTGCATACAAAATGTGTTCGCTGAACTTGCCAGCTTGTCTTTCTCCTTGCCTACTTTTAGGCGAACGTTTTTCCATGACTAAAGGAAGAGCTATGAAAATATTAAAATAAATTACATGAACTTTACAACATTGTTTCTATAGTTTTTGTTTCCATGCGATTTAAATTTATATGAAAACTTTGATGTATTTTTAAGGAAATTTCTTTACAAAGTTAGTTTGTTCATTGAATGCGCTTAATTTGTATCACATTATGGTAGATAGTTTGTTATTTATAGGTTTCTTTTTTACTTCCATATTTTTCTTACCACAAAATGGTCTCTAAATAATTCATAACCACAGAACTATGAATATTTTTAAATTGATTATTAATGTTTGCACTGAATTGAATATTTCCCCTTCACTGGCTGGCCAAAACGAATTTGCAGTCATTCGTTTAAGTTCTCTCACTTGCAGCAGCAATAATAATTGAATTAGCCTGAGACAAGCCAAGAGATTCACTTTGAGACTTTGAGAATTAAATCTTTTTTCGTTGGTTAACTTGGTCTGATTATTTTCCTTACGGCCAGACAAAAGAATGGAGTGGAAAACGAATCGAATAAAAGCCGAGTCGACTGTTGCCAGTTGTGCACTGCAAAGCAAACTGAAAATGTTCTCAGCCAAAATGGAAAGACTGCAAAAAAAAAGAAGGCAGAAAAGATGGCTAATTTGTGTCGCGTCTTCCAGCGAAGGGGTGAGAATCGAGGTGGGTGGAGAAGCGGTTGGCGGGTGGTAGGTTACTCTGGGAAGCCTATGAAATGTGGCCCGCACTTGAGCCAAAGAGTTGACGCACAAACTGCAGCAAAACTGAGCTGAAAAACCCGAACGGAAAACTGAGCTGAGCCCTCAGACAATGCATTCCTAATTCCTACCAAAAGGGTGGGAAATTGACAGGGGGTGGTGTAGGGAAGTATCCCTACCAGTGCACAGAAAGAAATATTATTTTTGCTATAAAAATATATGAACTTAAACCAAAAGTAATATTCAACAACATTTAATTCAAAGCCAATTCAAAAAACCATAAAAAAGACATAAATTTCGACTTCTCTCTGTTTTATTTTAATAGTTCTTGATAAGGAAATGGGTATAAATATAACATATATATCTATGATTTATAAAGAAAGGCAGTCCTACTTTGCTTTATCCAAAATCTAAAACATTTTCCGTGTACTAAGACTGCTGTGACTGTCTGTCTGTTCTTTTTTGGACTGGCAGCACATCAAACCGAACTGAGTGCAAGTCCCTTGGAAGCAGTCATAAAGTGTCGCGTTCCGTGCTTCCGTTCCGGTTACCTCTTTCCGTTTGCTCGCCAGCCCACCTGAGCTGCTACCGCCCCTTAACCCGCAAATGGCTTCCGGCGCACGCACCCACCCACCCCAAATGGAGGGATAAGTTTTCCAGCTGTTTGTCTCCGGCTGAAAGCGCATATTACTTTGCCCACAAGCAGCTCTTCTTGCAGTAATAAGCAGCCGGATTAGCCAAGCTATTCATCTGCTCATCTTTGGGGGAAAACCAAGAGCATTCTGCTTTCCTGGGAAACTGACGTGTATTGGCAGCCCAGCGAAACAAAAGCTGCTGCTGTTGCTGGAGCACTGGGGGAAATCTGGGATTTACAACTATAATAGGTTTGAGACCAATAATATCCTTCAGATACTAATAGAAGAAAACTCATGAAAATTGTTGTATTTACTTAAAGATAAAACTGTAACATTTTTTAAGCAATTAAAAGATATACATTTGAGATGTAAACCTCAGTAATTAAACTATCATAAGCCCAAAATGTATCTTTGTAAATGTAACCTTTTTTTAAGAGAATTTGGGACACAAATCCTGAGCTGAAACTAAAAGGGAACCTGAAGCTGAATGGAGGGCAACCAATGTTTGACAAGACTGTGGCAAAAAAAAAGAAAGGAAAAAACCGTAGCTTCCATGTGGGTGTGAAAAGATGCCCGACAACAGCAACAGCAGGTGGCCTTGAGAGGTGGAAAATTGTTGGAGCTAATGGGTGGTGGTTGTAAGGGAGGTTCCGTTGGAGGTTCGTTGTCAACACACACTGTTGGAGGTCCTCGGTTAGGTGACCAACGGAACGTTTATTTAATTGAAAGGTCAGTCTGCTGGATACAGTTGCCCAAACCACAAAAGTGAATGAAACAAAAGGTTGATTAAAGGCAAAACGCAGAAAACAATGGAAAGTGCAAAGTGGGGGGAAAGAAGGATTAGTTGGTAGAAAGGATTTCAATGGAAGTGAATTCAATGCTTCCAGATATAAGTAGAACTAATGTTATCCACTTAATGAAAGGAAAATAGTTGGAAACAATGGATAGCGGGTATAGTTTTATAGTTATATAGAAATTTTCTGGAAACAGTTTAAGGAGGAGGATTTATTTTCAGGAAATTGTCCAGATAAGGATCTAAGATATTCCTTCTACGAAATGTTTCTATGAAACTTTAATAACTTTAGCTTTAATATTCATGCAAATGAACAAAAATATTCATGTTCATTGCGTTAAGCCGAAAACTGGTAATAAATCCCTGAAAAGCCGCCCCGAAAACCAACCCCCAACCACTTGCAAGTTGAGGTAACTATCAAATCAAACTAGCTGGTAACAATTACATCATTTTGCAGACAATAACGAATGGAACAAGGACTTTTCAGGTTTTTCGTGGTGCTCTTATATCCGAAACTCACTCAAACAATTAGCTCAAAAGACGAGGTTGAGGTCGGTGGGTGTGAGTCACAGCGCGTCGTCGTCGTCGTCAACGTGAAGCCCTATGAAAAAGTTTCAGTTTTTGCGCAAACAAATTGGATTATTCGATTACGTGTTTGTACAAGCGCATTGGTAGGAGAAGGTTCAGAGCGGGGGGGGGGCTTGAGGGTAAGGTGGAAAACCAGGTGAGCTGGTGGTGGGTGAAGGAGGGGTAGCTACCTGAACTGAGGTTGGATTGTAAAGCGGCCAAGGGAACAAGTTTTTAAGGGCACCTTTGGGGTTCGGTTTCTTTTTTCATAGGGGCTGCAGTTCTCTTGTTTGATTTTGATTTATTTGGCATTTGTTTGCCAATTGGCAAATGTTTGTAAATCTATTGAGAGCAGAAATGTAATCTATAATAGATGGACTCCATCTTTATACGTTGGAAAATCGAAGGCAGATATTGAATGTGGAAGTTTAAATATTTGACAAAGTTTTTTAATAAATTTTTAACTATATTTTTGAATATTTTAAATCTCAGATTGGCCCAATTAGTTTACAAACTTTAGTTCAGATTAATGTCTTCACAAAATGAATAAATGATTGAGTAAAATATTAACTAAAAATGTCGAATTCTAATTTTTATCACATTTTTAAACATTTCCAAACTAAAACTTTTTTCCATTTAGTTTCCAATATAGCAAAAGGTATCACTTTCCCATTTGAGTTGAAAACTGCTGCATTGTTGCCCTTTAAGGGGAGGGCCTAAAAATAAAGCCCAACCAAGTGACCGGGGCCCAAATTGAAAGTCAATATAGTGAACAGTTGGCAAACACCTCGTGTTGCCAGCGACTGAAATTTATTGTTACAAACTGGCTTAATTGCTGGCCAACGGTTGGAAGGGGCTTTTAAAAATTCTGTGGCCCGACTCTTTTCTAAGCTTTTATTGAACGAGGAGGAAACCGGGTGAACTCTGTTGGGAAGTCTGGACACTTTGATTGCTTGCTTTTAAAATGAATTTTATATATATATATATACCATTATATAGTGGCTTTGGACAGGTGTTTGACATTTGTGCAATATACGAGAATGTGGATAGTACTCTCATTTTACCCATTTTATTTATTTTGCTTTTAATTTCTTGTTCACAATGAGCGGCCCGCAGCTGTCGGTTCTGTGTCTGTCAGATGGTGCGTATGAGTGATTTTTAATTTAAATTTAAAACAAACAAAAGGCAAAAGGCCAGCCATCTTTGCTTTAATGAAACTCAAGAAAACGAAGCCCGCAGTTAAGGAAAACTCAAGAATCAACAAAATAGTGAGGAAAATGGCACAGAAAAGGGCGTCCGAGTAGGGTGTTAAGGCGAAAAGTTTGGGCTAAGGAACAACATGTGCAAGTTATGTACAATCGATAAACTCGAGCTGAGTATATATTTTGCTGACTGGCTGACAATTAACCCCTTACGTGCCAATTGCTTGCTAAATAAATTAACTCACTCTTACACACACGCATCACGTTGGCAACAACAAAGTCAGCAGAATTCTTGGCATTTTAATTGGCCAAGCCGACGCCTTGTAGTTGGCCATAAAAAAGTTTACTCTCAGCCAACTTGAAAAGACTTTAACGGAAACATAACCTTAATGGGAAACGCCTCAAAACTTGGTTAAACTTGAATAGCCCTTGCAGAGTATGGTAATTAAATTAGGTCTTTTGTTTACATTTTCCACAACGCCCTTTTTCTACTGCTTTCTGCTCGCAAGGTAATGAAAATTAATCAAGCATACGCCATGTGTGACATGGGTAAAGTGCAGGGACTGGTCAGAAATAAGGGAAACTTTAAGGGAAGTCATTATTACAGCAGAAAATATGCTATGCAGACTGAAAATCATTTGTAATAGTTCATAAAAATAATCAGTTGTCCAACCAGACGAAAGAGAAAACTCAACGCTCTCAATAAATATATATCGTTGCCCATAAAATCCACAATAAAATCGGAAAAGTTACTTTACTTACCATTAAGCTTGACAGTCATTCTCGGAGACTGATACACCCGCATATGGTAGATTTCTTTGGCTTTTTTCTACCCTTTTGTGTTAAGCAAAGATCCCGACTTGCCAACCACTGGTATTCCCAACGACCAACACAATGCAGTTTGAACGAACGACTTTACATTATAATTCATTGAACGAGCAATGCGATTTTTGGCATTCCTTAACTGTACTGCATCTCTGTACTGTCCCAGGAAAAGCAAAAGGAAGAGAACCTCCGTCACTTTTAACAATGACATTCGGTGACCCCACCATGTGCCTCATCTCAACTCCCTGGTCTTCCCTCTTTTCGGGGGGGCAAACATTGTGCTACAAAATGTGCATATGCCACAGGGCTGCTGTGAGTTCCACTCTGAGCTCCACAAACTTTCCCCACCGCAATTTCTGCCGTTTGTTGGCATTTCACATCCCCAGTTCTTCCCCTTTTCTGTGTCACTTTTTTTATTTACTCGGATTTTTATACATGAGTTTGTATTCCATTTCATGTCACATACGCATACGAATACGTTAACGAACAAAGCACTTGGGGAAAAAAATTAAGCAATTTATAAACGAAACGTTTTTCTTTATTGCTTAAAAATAAATATATATGCAGAAGGAATAATCAAATAAACCCGTCGATTTACACTAATTGTTTGATTGTTTTCAGCATGAAATGGTTGTATGATTGCTTGAACTTTTAACAGAGAAATGTGTTAAGTTTTGTATTCTCTTTAAAGCCAAAATGTCATCTGCTACCTAACAATTACTTTAGAATTCATTAAGGCAACGTATTTAAATATTATGGCCACTCGAACTTTAAACAAATGCTCCTCAAAACTCAACTTCAATGTTTTTACTTTCCCTCGGGAGCTGGGCTAAACTTTTGTTTCGGTTTTTATTTTATATGCCAATTATAAAGGCCGCATGAGCTGCCAAAAGCCAGAACCAAGTTCAAACTGGCTTAAACCCATCACATTCATTTTGGGCAGCCACTTCACTCCACGCCAAGCCCCTCGGCAAAAGTTTGATTAAATTTTTATTTGAATTTTTGCTTTTAAAGTTTTACTCCCCCTCACCCCTCAACATAATGAAACGAAAATGAATTTAATCCCGTGGAAGGTGAAAGCAGATTTTATGGCTGGGAGTCAATCACAATGTATGAATAATTCGATCAGGGCTTAAAACCACTACGACGGCCGCTCTCAGTGACCCTTTCCCTTATACTCATTCATGTATATATATTTAATAATAAATGGACATAATTAAGCTTAAGACCGATGGCTTACCCGGCATATAGAGAAGTGGCGTTCATCTCCGATACTGACCTGCAAGAGACAAAGAGCAGAAGGGAAAAGGAAATGCGATTATAATAGGGTCAATTATAAGTTTTTAGATCAGCTAAAGTCTATTACAGGGTAAAAAGCTAAAGATAACGACGAAAAACACGAGCAACAACTTCAACTACGTTTAACTAGGAAATTAAGTTGTCTTTTTATTTATTTATTTTTTGTTTTTGTTTTTGCTTTTGCTTTTGCTTTGGCTAGTGAAAGAGAGACTAGCATTAACAGCTTACGGGGTAAAGTCAATTCTTTTTGCTGTAAATTGCATTTCCCTTCGAGGGTCGGACGATATCCCCCGAGGAAAGGGACAGAGTGAGTGGAAAATCTGCACAGTTGATAGGTAAAGCGCAACAAAACCAGCTCTCAACGAGCCAAGCGAAAAGGACGAAAATATAAAATGCGAAAGCGGAAGTTTAAGTTTTTCTTTTCCCATTTTTTTTTTTTTTTTGCCAGAGAGACAAGGATGAAGGTTGAACAAGAGCAAGGGTCGGACGTCTGACTGATGTCCATCAGAAGCTTGGTATGAACGGAGCATAAAACCATATCAAATGTCAAGTTGAAGTGGTAGTTTTCGCGGAAATATTAACAATCAGTCAAGTCATCAAGTAGGACCAATTCATCAAGGTGATGACTTGCAAAGTCAGTGTTGTTAAAACAAAGAATATGAAACTTCACTAAGCTAGTCATCACAATACAAAAATAAACTTTATTTTCAATTGTCCCATTTGTTATTAAGTTTAATAACTTCGTCAACGGACGGTAAGCCATCTTAGATGCGGAAAGGAAAACTTGGCAGCTAAGTGGCCAAAGAAATTCTAAGCTTCTGCCAAGAAAATTCTTTGCCAAACAAATTTTATGAGAAACAATTGACATTCGGAAGCCAAGAAGCTTTCCCGGCTTCAGGCTAGAAAAAAGAAAATAAGAGAATATTTGTAATTTATATTTTTGAAAATGAAAGGAAAAAGGTTTCTTTTTATGTGTCTTAGATTTATGAGACCAGCTTTTGAAAACGAACTCCGCAACTCGAAAGCCAACTTTATACTTAAAACTTGGCTAGTAATGACAATCTTAGTCAAGATTTTCCCTACCGAGAAGTCAATACTTTGCTAGAGAAAGTTATTGAGGTAATCTCTATATAGTGCTCCCCTATCCCTTCCTTCTCTTTCCTTTTCTACAATCAATATCACACTTTGACACAAGTTTCATTAGAGAACATATTGATCCTTGGGAAGCAGAAGTTATCCTACGGCCCAACAAGATGAACGAGAGGCAAAAAAAGGACCAAGTGACGAGATGCACGTGCCAAAAGTCTCAAGTTTAGCTGTTGCTGTGGCTACTCACAAAAAAATTCGCCAAAGGCGCTTGCAGGAAAATCGGGTGGGCGGAAAAGGCAGAGGTGGTATGTGGAAAATTGAGGAAAAACTCGAGTGGGATGAGCTGGAGGATGACGACAGCTTGGTCTTGTCATGGTAAACGCGACGTGAGCGTTTGCTTGGCCTTTGGCAAGTTTCTTATTGCATGCATGTGGTGCTGGGCAAAAAAAAAATATTAGGCAAAGGAGAAAAAATGGGAGAAAAAAAGAGAGAGGGTGGCTGTAAAAAAGTAGTGTTGCATATTTATGTGCGCAGCAACCAACCGTTGCACTATGTGGAATTTGACCCGTTTTTGTGGCCAAAACTCATTTTTTGAAAATATACAAATTTACGTTTTTTCAATTTTACCAAATTAAGAAATGATCAAAATGCTATGTTACATACCTAAAATGTTAATTTAACAGCTTACTGTTAAAATACAAGCTGTTAAACTCAGCTGTTGCAAGCGAAAACCACGTGCTGTTAAAAATGTTAATTTTGTGGTGCAACTTCAAATTTGCATATCTCTTAGAAAAAATCATTAAAAAATCTAATTCAAATTGAATATTGATTCTTAAGGTTAATACTATTTTTTTATACTAATACGTTGTGTTTTTCGTTCGTATTTTTTTAACAATTTGTATGTTTAGCAAGTGGTGTCCCTTTGTTACTTTTAGAAAGAAAGTTGAACTTTGCAAAGGGTTTTAAAAAAAGTTTCAAAGAGTATCAGTGAGTGTCCATAACCATGTTGTAGATTTGTCAATTCTGAATTCAGAATATATTGGCTCATTTGCGTTTTTTTGCGAATCTTTGCGTAATTTGAATTTTTAGGAAGCAACCTCTTGTTCAGCAATGCACAAGTTTGGCGTAAGCCAGGAAGTAGAAGTAGAAGTCACCCAACTGTTGGCTGGTGAAATTTAGTTTGCAAATGGTATCGACGCAAGGGAAGAACAACAATAAATACTTTTTTTTATATAATAATAATGAAATTGATGAAAATTATGCAGTTGAAAATGAATACCTAGAATAATACTACCAAAAAAATTTATTTTTTAATAACTTCTACATTTATTATCCGATCTGGACCAAATTTGCAGGACACATTTGAAATCGGACATTCATCTTGTGTTTCAAAATTGGGGTCTCTAACTTGAAAATTGCGCTAAATATTGCATTTTTGTGGGCGGAAAAGGGGCGTTGCCACGCCCACTTTACAAAAATACCTTCCTTTAGTCATAACCATCATTATACAAGAAACCTGTAGTGGAAAATCTTGTTAATTTTAAAAATATTAATTTTGGCCACAAAAACGGGTCAAATTCCACATAGTGCGTTGGACCGTTTGAAGGCTTTTGTAATTAAAAAAGCAAAAATCTTTACCCCAACCAAGCACACCTGCCCATGTGTGCAGTGGATCTTGAGAAAGCTGAACTGCGATATGTCAGGAAATTACAAAATTGAACCTTTTTAATACTTTTCTTACAGCATTAAATGGTTTTTTGTTAAATTTTTATCTGAGCTTGTTTATTAATGATAAATTCTTGTTACAATCTTTGTCTTAAATGATTCATTAGCCATCATCATTCATTAATTAAATATAAAGCCTAAATTTCATTTATAAAAGTTCTTATTCAGTTTTTTAAATTCAAAATAGAGGCTCTACTGTAAATCTTTTGCCTTTTATGTGGATGAGTTTCCATTTGGCAGTGGCGGCAGACGGGGGCGGCCGGAGACGGGCTTGGCTGAAGGATGGAAGAGTCGCAACGCTTAAGGATACTTGTGCAAGATTTATGATGTGTTAGTTTTTTTTCGAGTGGAGTTCTTCGCACAACATGCATATGCATATGCTCAAGCATGCAATTTCTGTTTTCCACTGTTTCACCCTCGGTGTGTGTGTTTTTTTTCATCGCATTTGGCAAATGGCGCTCAATTTTTTAATGAGCGCGCCGGAAATGTGGAAAATGTCTGCTTGGAAAGTGTATAAGTATGAGCGAGCATGGGCTGTGAGCGTATGTGTGGGGTGTCACTTTGATTTATGAACATCGGCCTGGCATCCGACAGATTTTGTCATTTTCAGCTGTCGCTCTTTGTGGTGGAAAGTGCGCTTTTAGGCGGGGACGCAAAAGGAAAATTATTTTTAATGGTCACAGCCAGGACACTTCATGGTCCTCCTCCAAATCCACCATCTCTTTCTCCTCCTTTTTGGATATTGATACGTAAGCCCTTCTCTCGGTGAAGCACTTAAACTGTATTTACGCACATGCGTCCATTAATCAAACAATTTATCAAAACATGTCATTCGGTGGCACTTCGAGGAGTGGTATTTTGTAATCGACTACTTCTTCTATTATCGAGCAGCAGCCTAACCGGAAGGAATCGACTTGTGGGCTCAGATTGCTGCCATCGTGTTGGAGCTGTCAATCATGATGATGACACCGATCGTTCATTGCCACACTTCCTGGGGCCAATTATCTGCAGTCAAGTGAAAACAAATACAAGTTCACTGGGCAAAGAAAATGGTTAACAAGAAAGTGATTCTAAGGAAAGGCACTGTAATTTATTAATACGTAAATTCAAATCATAAAATATGGCTTAGAAAAGATTGTGGGTTATGAAATCCTGAAGAAAATAGCACATAAACTTGACAAGTATTTTTTGCTTAAGATATATAATCAAAGTTAAACATTTTCTTCCACTGTATCTGGAATATATCCCATTAAAGCCTTAAAGTATCTCAGCCATATTTGCATTTATAAGTAGCTACACAGCCAAGATGGCTATAGTTTACCATGAGCGGCAAACAGGATTTACAAAGTCAGAAAGAGGTTAATAACAAGGCGTTCCCCTACACACACACTCTCACACTACAAATAAGAAAATGTATGGAGATTTTTAGTGCGGGGCCAATCTTGTGTGCTCTCACTTACAGCAGGATAATGCAAAGTTTGTGATAATGTTTGAACAAAAAGAGCACGCAAACATGAAGAAGCAACGAAGGACTAGTGGCATAAAAGGATATGAGAGTGTAAGCAGGCATTTAACCTCTCAAAAGTAGAGCCATCCATCAAAAGATTGGCTTTCACTCCATTGATGGTGGGACAAATATTTAAAGTGTATGAAAGTGTGTCAATTAGTTTAGGGGGAAATAGATCAAATGACGCATTACTAGTTTGGATTGTTATTAGATATGAATATATAAGAAATTTTTTAAGATCCTTTCAAATTTTGGTATTTTTTTAACATTTTCTTCTATAAAAAACTTTTATTTAGTTTAAATACCTTCTTTTTTCTTAAGATATTGCCTTTTTAGCCCCCAAAGCTTGGTTTTACTTAACTTGTATCTTTAATTATGAAATGTTCAAGCTTAAGTGAGTTTTTCCTTGTCCTATACACACACACAGACATTTGTATGACATCTTCAAAACGGAAAACTTTACCCTTTTTAACCCAACTTTTGGCTTCACTTTCATAAGAGTATTCGGCGACTGTTTGCAGTCTCTCCGCTCGTTTCCCGTTTTCCCGGTTTCTATTTAGTAAACATTTTCCCGTCAACGCCGCCGGATGATGCTTGGCATTTTCCTATTTTCCATCTCTCAGCATCCGTTTTGCATAGTGGGCGGGGAGGAAATTTAA